ATATATATATGTATATATATATGCTGTAAGAGTTCATATAATAACATGAATTCAGAGGTCCAAACAAGCCACATTAGTCAAACAATGCATTTAGGGTGTTATGAAATAATTTTCAATGGAATACTTGAAAAGATGTGACGACATATTTTAGTAGTAATATTCCTTTTAGTTTTTTGTGCAGCCGACTGTTATTTCGTAAAACTGAAGCACATTGATAAAATACCCATATTTAATGCATAAACTGATTTTTTTTAAGGTAATTTTTTTAATAAAAATAATATAACCTGAGAACTAAAGTTCTTCATAAACAACAATGTTTATATCTTAGAAAACTGTGAAAGTCATAAAATTACAATTCGTGCTGTTGATTTTGTGATTTTATATAATATATCCTCCAGTATTAATTCAATATTTTCATTCATGTCTATTAAAATAAATTTTTTATGCATTCATGAATGTATCTTTCCTTTATTCCTTCTCTGTTTCATAAGTCTTTTAAAGATACAAACGCAAATGTTTCTGTGTAAACGTATTTATCTGTATCGTGTGTATAATAAAAATACTACTGAATTATAATAGTCTTTTGTTTTGTGCGTGTGTGTGTGTGTGCAGTTTCTGGCCCTTTTTTGTTTCCGTACTTGAAACCGTCGCTTAGTAACAGAAACCAACAAAACCCGTAACTGACTGTGAAAGCTAACCATAACCGGTAAGCGTGTTGCTAAAAGTAGATTTAAAAACATTTTACGTACGTTGAGACGACTAACTGTTGTGTTTGTACATTTTAAATATTTACTTTAAGAAGCTAACTCTTTAATATATAGTTAGGCCTCAAACGTGAATAACATTTCTAAGGTCAGTTAGCTAAATTTAGATCCCATTAAAACCCACATTTTAATTAAAAAAAGAAAGAAAGAAAAGGAAACGAGTAGAAAACGTCTATATTTCGTGGTTATAGTTGGTATCAGACAGCTCTGGAGATGTCAGTGCCTTTCTCCAACACTCACCTGAGAGTCCCGCGAGGTTTCGGAACACTTTTAGAGGGACTGGCCCGAGAGGTTCTCCGGGACCAGCCTGACAACATCCCCGCATACGCAGCGCAGTATTTCGACAAACTTCTAAAAAAAAGAGAAGGTAACTTACACTTCAACATTTTCAATGCTAGACAAACGCCGGTCACTGGTGTTTGTTTGTTTTTGTTTTTTTCCTGGCAGAAAGTGGGACGGATCCTACTGAGTGGGCTGCCAGACTAGACGACAGGTTTTACAACAATCATGCCTTCAAGAATACAGAGGTATTTATTGTTTTACTTCATAAGATAAAGCTTTTAATATGTCTAACTACTATGAATTTCATTTAATTTGTTTTTTATATTTATTTTCTCCAGACAGCAGGTCCTCAAGTAGAAGCTGCAGCAGAGGCCGGATCTAAGTGAGTCTTGTCTGTATTTGACAGAGGAAGACAGGAAGAGCACAAGAGAAATAATTGAAATATGTTCTCATGAAATTAAACTAAAGTTTATCTTTACATCATTAAAGAACTTAGATTCATTTTGCCATTTATTAAATTATAATATGGATCTTACTGTTAAATCAATATAGGGCCAATTCACAAACCAATAAACTTTTGAAGATGAATGGGACTAATTTATATCCCATTATACTGAAATATAATGGTAAAATGGTAAATGGCTGGTACTTATATAGCGCTTTTTTAAGTCAGGAGGCTTGGCCAAAGCACTATACACTACATTTAGTCATTCACCCCTTCACACACACACTGATGGTGGCAAGCTACATTGTAGCCACAGCCGCCCTGGGGCTCACTGACAGAAGTTAGGCTGGCGCACAACGGTGTAGCTTTGATCTCAACTTTGGTAGGGACACTATTGGTCTTAAGTCAGATTGGTCTGAAGTCATCGGTCCTACGCATTACGCATGCTCCTATTTTTTTTTATGCTTGACGTAAGCATCAGGGTGCATTTCCTTCAAAGAGAAATCAGCATGTTTTTGCTACATTTATACAAATTTTATAAGGACTACACACACAAGATGCCGTTTTTAATGCTTGAAGCATGAGTGGCTCGGAATAATGTAAAAGTGGGACAACCTTACACTTTGAAGGGGGTTCCATTTGAACTTACCAGTGACTAAGACGGAAGGTAAATATGTGCCTTTTTAATCAAATATAGTCTAAAGATGTCTTTTGTATGTATATTTATTCGGTGTTTTCTATAGGTAATATGCAGAGGTAAAACCCACTCTAATTTTTTTTTAATCTGATATGCTGTTATTCTCTGTATTGTAAAACAAAGCAAAATAACATATTCAAGGGACTGCAAATAGAGTCATTGTATTTACATGGGCGTGGGAACTATAAGAGGAATTGACACTGAGCATTTAAAATATTGACTTAAATATACAAGTTGTGAGAAAAGAAGCGACTGCTGCAACAACGCTGGACTGTAAATTATAAACACGTTATTCACATAGAATTATTGGTAGGGACAAGTAGGTCGGGCCAAAACTTTGGTAGGGACATGTCCCTATGGTCCCTATGCAAACCTACGCCCATGCTGGCACACACAGGCGCCACCGTGCCCTCTGAACACGATCAGGAGGCAATGCAGGTGAAGTCTCTAGCCCAAGGACGCAACAACACTGAAAAACCAGAGCCAGCGCTTCAACAAACAACCCTTAGGTTGCAGGGTCCAACATCCGCCGCCACTGCCACTCCAGTTAGATCCAATAAATCTATTTTTTTTTTAGCTCAATCCAATAATGTAAACAGATTAAAAAACGTACTGACTCCAATTTAGGAGGGATTGTAATACAATACAATCAAATTTAGCTGATCATATAATGCCAATAAGTGGAAAGGAAAGGCAGCTGATTCCATTGAATATTTGGCTTTGCAACAATCCCTCATTCTGAGAAAGGATATGGCAACATTGAAAAAAGAGCGATTCTCCTTTTCACCGGAACTTGTGTTGATGGAAAAATAATAGGCCCCTGCAGTGCCCTCCATCAACCAAGGTTGAGAAACAAAGGTCTTGGTTAGTTGACGGCTTTTCTTTTCTTTTTTTTCTTTTCTTTTTTTTTTCACAAGTGAGCATAACATGTTGCCTTTTGACATATTTAGCCCATATTATGTAGGTCTACAACTAACAGTTATCTTTCCAAGCAATGGATATTTTGCCCATTATTCTAATTAATTATGAATAGCCATATAGCAAGTGGTGTTTGATATTAGGTGAAAAAAGGAAAAAATAATTGAACCAGATGAAGCCAAAACTCTGCAACTAGAAGGTTTTTGGATAGAGCATATTTACAGACCAAGAGGAATTTTCACCTTAATTGCAAAATGCAAATATTGTTATACAATTTTGGCGTGAATACTGCTCTGGATGAAAAGGCACTTTACAATTGCACTTTGAAAATGTGCACAGACATGCTCTGGTGAGCAAGTTCTTTTGAGCAAATAGCCTATTTTAGAATTTGAACATTTAATAAATTGAAAAGACATTTCATAATCAATTAATCTTAAACAAATCAGATTAACAGTTTCAGCTCAAATGGTATGTTAACATGTTGTATTGAAGTTATTTCTTGTTTAGTACATTTGTACTTAATACCTATGACTTCTGAAATTACATCAGAAAAATTTGATAAATCAGAGTTAATAAAAAAAGAGACCTGCCTGCAAGACCAAGTACACTTCAGATTTACAGCTTCAGGAAAAAGCAGAACAGAGCTACTTGAGACCAGCAATTTCAGACACAGGTTTCAGTTTATATGTACAGCTGCATTATTCTAAGCGTTGGTTTGTTCATTAACGTTTTTAAAAATGTCTTCATTTTGTTGTTATTTTTTAGAGAAAAGTCAACTGACTTCCAAATGGAAGAAGAACCAAGTCTTTCAGTCGAAGAAGCAACACTTTCCACTGAACAGTTTCCTAATGCAGATAAAACGGATTCAGCTGGAAGCTCAGCTGATTACGAAAATCATGATACAACAGAAGAACTCACCGTTTCACATGAATTACAGCATACAGAAAACACATCTGTTACTGATAAACAACCAGATGAACAGAGTAGTACAGAAAAAGCTAAAACTAATCTGGTTGACAGACCAGAACATGAAGTCGATGTTAACCCCGTTCCAAAATGTACAACACATGAGCCTGATATACATCTCTCTAATTTGATGGCAGCCAAAGAAATATCAAATGTAGATATGAGCGAGGCAGGAGTGTTTGGATATGAGGAAGAAGATACACCAGATAATACTTCCAAAATTGAGGAGATTGTTAGCTCCAAAGGAGAGGAAGGTGTTAAAGTATCAGAACTAGTTGAGAGCCTTCAATATTTTGCTCTTGGTGATGCAGATGTCTGTGCTTCAGAGCTTGGAGGATCAAAAAGAACATTAGGAGATGGTATCTCTAAAGAAGATGCATATAGTGCAGAAGAGGAAGAAACTGGTTTCAAAATCCCTCCAGAAAACCATCAGGGAGTAGAGAATGATGAACAAGAAGCAGATGAGAGGGAAACAGAAACTGACTCTTCTCATGAGGAAACCAATAAAGGATTACTTCACTCTGAGAAATGCTTAGATAACAACGCCTTACCAAAGGAAGATTCTTTGGTTGAGATTAGTTTTGAGGATGATGCGGAGGATAGGTGCATTTCTGAAGTTGTGGGAAAAGATCTTGCGGAGGATGCTGCGATGGAGGATACGATGACTAATGTATCAGAAATGGCCCAACAAGACGAGTTCAAGGAGCTTGCATCAAATTCACCCGATTTGATTGAATCAGACGGTCAAGATAAAGCTGCAATGATGATCATAAGGAAGGAAGTTATGTCAGAAGATGAGGAAATACAAAGCCACGAGGCACCATTTAATACTCTGAAAGATAAAGAGGAAACAACTCCTTTAGATGAGAGTAATGATGATGAAAGAGAGATAGGTAGTAAAACCCCTGAATTGGAAAACAAAATTAAAGATCTGGAAGTAGATCCTAAAAATGATCATGAAATGCTTGATGAAAAACTCAACCTAAATAGAGAGATGGAAGATAATAATCCATCTAATGAGCAGGACGCTAAAGAAGATGAAACAACACACACAGTTAGTACTGAAAGCTACAGTGAGATGGATGATCAGGTCATTAATAAAATGGTAATACCAAACCCATCACTTCTCACTGACTTAGAAATGGCTGTGACAGAGAACAAAACCTTGGAGCAAAATCAAGAACATCTACCAGAACAGAATGAGCAAAGTCCCAGAATAGTTGGAGAGTCAGATGATGTTGCAGAAGAAAAGCAGGACACATTGAAACAAGAAGAAGAAATGGCTAATTCTGAAGTGCAAGAGCCGAGTGAGAAACTGGAAAAAGAGGAGGCTATGCTCGCTACTGTTTGTGCAGATTTGACAGCTGATGACCATAAGGCGGAGGAAAGACCTGCTGCATTTGAGGAGGACACCACAGAATCTGGAAACATCAATGACAAGGTAGTCTTGGTTGTTTGAAAAAAAAAAAAAAAAAACTTGTTATGATACATGTCACACTATTTCTAATAATTCAAGCTACAATTTGTATATTCTGTAGGCGATTTCTCATTGATGCCACAACTGTATTACAACTGAAGTATCATTTTCAGGGCTGAAACAATGAATCGGATGAATCGTGATTAATTGATTATCACTAATTTAGTAATCAATCAATCATTAACTGGAGTGTAGAGACTCTAAAACATGCATTTAGCTTACATTTAGCTTTAGAGCAGTAATTATGCAAATATTTTATTAAAAAAAAACATATCAACATTTTGCATTTAAGATTTAAAAAAAATGTCCGTAACTATGCGCTATCCAGAACTCCTCAAGTAGAAAATGTTAAGTCTAACCTGGTATAATTTCCTAAAAATGATTCTTTAAAGAATCTTTGTCTAACTGATTATTAATTTAAAAAATAGTTAACAGATTAATCGACTTGCAAAATAATCATCAGTTACAGCCTTTATTATTTTATTATACTACTGTACAGTAATGTCTGAGTAAATGTCCCTTAGTGGATAGAAACCACCCACATTTTAGACACATCAACAAGGTCCTTGTGTGTGGTGTCACACAGTTGAACAGGAAGCCAAAAATGACCGTGGTTACTACAGAGACTTCTGCAGTTAGATGAGCCTATGAAGATGTCCCAGGAGTTCTACTTTAAAATTCTTAGGAAGTATAATTCCCAGGATAGGATTTTTTTAATTTTCATTTTTTCGCCACCTTGAAAACAAACAAATTAAGAATAAAACTAATGAACAAATATATCAGTTTTTAAAAAGTATGTACATTCTTGCAAATATGCCAATAACATTTTTGCATGAACCTCCTCATCACCAATGAACTATCTTGCCAAATTGTGCGTAAAGCATCCAAATGACTACATAAAGGCAGGTCAGTTGTACATATGTAACTCTATACGTTAAATTTCAGCCCTATGTGGTGAGATCTGCACCCAATTCTCCTTTTTAAAAATCATTAGTCATATGTTATAATTCCACCTAAACAATAGTTCAAATAAAATTTTAAAAGCTCAAAATTATCATTAGATAAATACCAATGATTGGTTCATTAAAGCTAACTGGCCTTAATAATAAGACTGTAAGCCCAAAACTCTTCGGTGGGATATGTGTGAAAATATTTTCAGATATTTCTTTCTCCCACTGCACCTTCAATCTGATACACCTCTCTTTTTATTCTGTCCTAGTTATAAATGAGCAACTAAACAATTGGTCTCAAAAAGTAGAACCCCTTTCTGATTTGTCTGGACCAACCAGGCTTCTTTAAACATGTAGGAAGGGAGTGTAGGAAGGGGTTCTGAGAATGTTACTATGGTAACTTCTTCACCATGTACGTGTCGTCATGGTTTTAATAGGAGATGTGATGCTGATAGTTGCTAGGCACCCTCTGTATCAGTAACTTACCTTTTAGAGCAGCTTCTAACGCACTGTGTAAAAAAGTAAAACCCCTAACTTTAGTTTAGAGAAACATCTTTTTTTTCAATATGGAGACAAAAATAGTAACACTTGAATGTTTGATTTTTTTTTTTTTTTACTCAATCCAAAATGTTCAGTTGGCTAAACAGCAGCACTTTGACATGTACACAATATATGAAGCAGGTATGAGCAAACTGTCTGCAAAGGAATTCAATACCATCAACTAAAAGGTGTTTACAGTTTCTAAATATTGATCTGTTGATTGTCAGAGTTACTCAGCTTTGAGGTATTACGCATGTGTTGCAATTACCATGATAAAAAGCTCCACAAATTGGTAGCGTTACGTTGCTATTTGACATATAAAGCGGATAAATGGATGTTTTTGCTGGTCCTCCCTCTCTCTCGCCGTCTTCTCTGTGAGGCTTGCAGAGGCGTGTGGGCGGCTGTACCAGCTGGGATCAGAGGGATGGAGAGGGCTGTTAGCTCTCTCTGCCTCTAATAAATTTATAACACCTCCCAGCCCCCCCAAAAAATTATCCAAGATGCTCTTGGAGTTTTTGTTTTCACACCAAATGTAGGAATTTTAGGTCGAATATAGTCAGCAGTAATTGTTTTACTGCCATCTGGGCTTTAAATAGTATGTCCATGCTGGTCACTTGTTTTTGTTTTGTTTTAATATGAGGAGTTCCTTAGTGTGACGGAGAAAGTTGTTACAAAAGCAGCTTTCGTGCGAAATAACCTCTTTTTATATTAAAATCATTTAATATCAAGCTGTTAAGTTTTCTTATATAGAATGCATAATGCTCCCATGCTTTGTGTTTATCTGCTTAAGTTTGTACTTTATGGACCTGTTAGATATTCGAAGGGTAAAGTAAGCCGAGTAGGTCAGCAACCCAAATGAGGTGGAAAAGATGAAACACATGCTGTTAGGTTTGGAGAAGGTCTCTCTCTCGCTTTCTCTCTCTCTCTTTCTTTCCCTGCCTCTCTCTTTCTCTCTCCTTCTCCCTCTCTGCGTGAGCGGCTGTTACTGAACATACAGCGAATGTTAGCGAGAGCCAGTCAGGCATCTGTATTCTGTCAGAGACCTGCCTAAAGAACATCCTCCTTGGCCCAAGTAGAAATTTAGACGCTAGATCCGTTCACCTGCAGACGGGAGTCATCCGAAAGCAAAAGAGATGGACTGTCATAATGTAAGTAGAGGCTTTAGATAAACTTTTCTGCAGATAACCCTTTAATAGTTGTTTTTGCGATTGAGGTGTGACTTGATGATGACTGGGAGTGTTCTGGATTTTGTCCAACTGCCTTGATGAGCTGGGTTTGTTGTTTTTATTGCGTTTAAAACAGTATGAGGTTTTTTTTCGATAGGAAGAATTTGTAGAAAGAATTGATTATGGTGGATAGAAACATTCTAACTTTACAGATTGGAAAAACAGAGTAATTATGTTGGCAGTGTATGTCTCTGTTCCCCTGTGAAAAAGCTGGATGCTGGCTGCTCTGTAAGCAGTCAGACAGAGAGGCTAATGAATACTGGCCGAACAGGTGGGTGGTCACACTCCCACACTGAAAGGGGTTTCACTGGAGACATGATGCACTGCCTCACCGAGATAGTGGGATGGCACTGGGACCGTTCTGTGGGCTGCCTTTTTTGTGGAAAATGTCAGTCCGTTACCATAAGCAAAGCACGACTTAATCGGGAACTGTTGTCTCTGCATAGATTGAATAGGTGTTTACATAACTCTTCAATATCCGTGGTACTTTTTCACTGACAGTTTGTCACTAGCCAGAATTTCTCTTCCACCCACTCCTGTTCTTCTCTAGGACTGTGGATTCTAAGGGGCTGTCCTGGACTGCAGCAGTTTTTTTGTTGGATCATCTCTTTTCTGGGAAAAAACTTGCAGAGAGAGTGAATTTTTATTTGAAATATGGCTTAAAGTGTGAGTTTAGCAACTTTTACTTAAAAAAAAAAAGCCATCTAAGACTGTGCACTGCTATTTCTAGCAGTTTTTTAGTAATAGATTATATATAATAGATGATAGTAATAGATAATACTAGTTATTTCCTAACTTTCTTTTACAATAATAAGGCACACATTTTGGAAAAGTCATTGACATGAACAAAAAAAATGAAGACTTTAAAAAAAATGGGTGTTGAGGTACTGAGAACACAGAAGGACCATAACTGATCACGGCTGCTGAAACAAACATGCTTTAGAGGGAAAAAAAGATACAACTGTTAAGTATTTACAGTTAACTTGGCAAAATATGGTATCCCAATCTGTTTTGATGAATAACTCCCACAAGTGTTTAATGGGAAAAAAAAATAAAAAAGTAAGAGAAAACACCATCATACGATCCTTAAATCTGTTCCCATGCTGCTGTAAACATACTTTTCCTCGCAGCAGGAGGAGTGCAGCCGACCCCAGGAGGAGGAGGACATCATGGACATCCCCCTAGACGACCCGGAGGCCAACAGAGCTGCTGCCAAGATTCAGGCTGGCTTTCGCGGCCACATGACTCGTAAGAAGATGAAGCCAGAGGACAAAACCGAAGGGGAGGAGGTGAGCAGCACTGGGGATGTGCTCCCCAGCAGCCAGGGGGGCTCAGGTCAGTGAATTAGGGCCAAGGGGTAAGGCTAAGTCCCATAATGCCGTTAAAAAGAGCATTATGGTTAGTGATTGTAAGAGAGAGGCTCCCATCACATCATAACTACTCTTAATAATGTACGGTAAGTGATGGAGAAATTATTAGATCACATTGGTATAATATTTGGATAAAGCCTAATATGTGAATGCAAAATCTGATAATGTCAGGTTGTCTTCTCTGAGACAAACACATGAACAAAATGCAGGAACACAGACTGGTTTACCATCTTTAACATTACAACGACGACCATTTATTCCATTAAATAATTCAGTACATCTTTTAAAAGTCCCTCATGGTTTAAGTCAAGTGTGATTAATGCAAGACATAACAGAGTGACTCATTTAATTACCCCATGGGATAGCGACAGATGATTGAATGTCTCATATCATTTTTTCCCCTTAAGTGCTCGAATGAATCTGCCTCTTGAAGCGAAAGGCAGAAGATGTTCAGGTTTCATTTGCTCGGAACAATTGCCATGATCTAGCACCAATTTACTAGTCCTAATAGGACACAAGACAGGAGAGGAGAGAGAAAGAGATCAACCTTTAACAACTTTATCAAAAACATTTTTTAAAAATCAGCATTTCTATATGTAACAAAAGCTCAGGATGCGTGAATTGTAATTGGTTTTTGACCCCATTTCTACCACTGTTAAAAACAACTTGGTTAATGGACACAGTGACTCAGTGCACAATAACAGGTTTGGAAGTATTAACACTGAATCTATAACCATAAAAAAAAACATTTCAAATAAATGTCCACACAGTAAAAAAAAAAAAACAAAAAAAAAACAAGTGCTACTTTAACACCTAAAGAGTTGAATATAACTCTGTTTCAGATCAAATTTGGTCCCAGTCCAAATGAGTGTAAACTTTACTCTACAGCTTGTGTCAGATTTTACTTACTTAGTTAATTTTACTCATATTAGTGTTAAAATCAAGAAAACCTCTCAGACTATCGGCTATTCGACACCATATAGAGTAAAAGTTCAACTCCATGGCTGCAAATTTTATACTGATTATTAACTCCAACATTTGAGCAGATATACACTCAGTATAGTTGTAAATAATCCATTTAGAGTTAAATTGGTTAACTCTGAAAATTAAACACACTTTTTTTTTTACTGTGCTTGTAGAAGAAATGACAAGAGACTGAAACAGTTAGATTAGAGGAGAGGATTTTAGTTAAGTGTAGATTTTTCTTAAAATGTGTCTGTTGAAACTTGAGTTAGAAAAAGTTTTCTTCTCCAACTTTAAAAAGACAAATCCATGAAATTGAAGGTACACTCTTAAACCCGGCTCTTTATAGATGTTTAAAATGTATGTTGTTTAATTTTTTTTTAGAAATCAGTGAATGAGTTCTGTCTCTCCTACCTGATGTTCTGTTTGGTTGCTCTGTCCTAGCCCCCCTTTTCTTCCAGAGAAGTTGCATAATATACTTTATTAATTCAATTGAGTGTAACCAAATGTAATTTAAGCCATGAGGTGGACATTGCATAGCAATAATAAACTTGAAGCTGGAGTCGAAAAACAAAACAACAAAATAAAACTTGTAGCAACAAAACAAAATGACTTTAAAAAATGAATATGAATTAAATGAAATAAAACTCAAAACCATATCCTCATACTTTCTGTAATATTTCCAAAATAATTTAATTGCATTGTGCAAAACCTTTTACAACCATACGCTGGATTTAAATTTTTTTTTTGGTTCTGATCCATATTAAGATATGTTGACTCAATATCAAAGGGAAATCAGTAAAAGTAAATTCTTTGTGGTCAAATTGTATTTTCCACATTTACTAAAAGGTTTACTTTGGGTAGACTGTTGGTTGTGAAAGTGGTTTCAAAAACATGTTTAGATTAAAAGGTCCAAAACAGGTTTTTTTACCAAAGCAACATATGGTGAAGAGGTGAATGACTTTAACTCCAGGCAAAAAAAATAGGACAGACAACAAAAAAGAAGAAAGGAAAAAAATTATCAAAAGAAGGCAATTTAAAATGAAGGTAAAATAAAATACAAATGCATGTAATAGTTAAATTTTTTGAAGCCTCCTTTTATTAAAGACTTATACATAAATTAAAGGCAACATGAATGACATTAAATAAAACTTTAATGTATATGGCCCAACGTTTTCCCCCAATTAGGGCTATTTAAATAATTAGAATTTTTAACATGGTGGATCTGCATCACTGGTTCCTCCTAACCTAGTTGCTGGAAGCTTTGTGTCTTTAGGTAGGAGTTGTATTAATAGCTGCAGGTGCATTAGGTACAGTACATGCCTAAAACAGCCGAGCAGAATTAATGGACCTGTCGAAGTGGAAGTAAGGCATCTTGAGCTCCTCCCACAGGGGAAGACCCCCTTTTTAGGAAAAGAGGTGCTCATCAGTCATTCCAGCTGCCACCCAGAAAACTCTACTTTAAAACTTAGTTAAACCAGTAAAGATTTGGAATAATATAGAACTCCTTTTTTTCCCTCAACTTATGTTACTTCAGCCCAACCCCAGTGTGTCTTTTTGTCTCAAAGGCTCTTTAACATTGAGTGTAGTGTATTCAGAGCACTTCTTTCTTGGTTCTCCATACCCTAACTACGCCTCACCTGTTTCTGTTTTTAGAGACAGGAAGATCGGGGGCAGTAGAGAGAGACGACACATCTGTGCCGGAGCAGTGATGCCCCTGGCCTGACCTGAGTGATGAGAAGGAGAAGAGTCAAGAGGAGGTGGTGAGAGAGGGCTGGCACAAGCTGGTTTTCTGGCTTACCTTTTTAACCCTGCCCCCTGCACAAATGATTCCCTTTTTTTTCTAACATGAGTTAGCTCTAGAGAATGAACAGTGTTGAGGGTGTGTTATGTGAAATATTTGTGAACTTTAACACTCCCTCCTTGCTTCTTCGATGGCCTCATCAATGCGGATATGTTTGACCCAGAATTTGCAACTCACTGCATGTACTTGTGAAACTTCTGGTACTGTGCTAGTTTTTAGATCATGATCTGTGAATGTGAAAAATGAATGTCCTCCAAATGCTAAACAGGGCTTATGTTTTTTGAATGGATCAGTACATATATCCTGTGTATACACCTTGTATGCATCACTTTTGGTGATTAGTGGCCTATCATGTTTGTTGATTTGTAGTGTTTATTGCAGTGCTTGTATTTTGACAGTTATCTGATTTGCTTACAAAATTATTAAAGCATCCAAATCACCAAAAGAAAGTAGCTATGTATGTTCTATTTGTTCTTTTTATTTTTTTTGACCGCCTGATAAGTCTTTTCACAACTCCAAGCATTTTTTCTATAAATCTGATCTTCCAGAGCATTAAGCATGCAGTATCTCCACTCTTATCCATATGCATTTTAGTACAGCATTACCTTATATGACAGTTCTATATGCTCTCTTTTTGTGTTGTGTATTATGAGTTTTAAATACCGGTACCCTTTATGCTTCAAAAATTAACAGAGTAAAATCAGAGTTTTGGTGTAGAGACATGGCATTACACTAATAAATCCATTCCAACCACACAGCGAAACGTGAAGATGTGTTTGTTCCAGAAAGGCCACTTTTATCTTCGTCTTTGCCTCGTTCTTCCGTTAAATGGTGAAATGTTCAGCAGCTCTTCCTTCTCTGCAACAGAAGCTGAGTATTTAATGAGAGGAAGCATGTTTTATTGAAAGTTAAACATTGTTTGGTCTGCTGTGGTGTTCACTTATGTAATAAATCTTGTGAATATTTTATAACATGAATGTGTGTTTACCGCGTTGCCGACAAAGTTCTGGGGTGTCTTTCTACACACAGTGATATATGTTGTTGTTATATACAGGTTTGAATTTGTTTCTAAGTTTTGTCTTGTGCACCACTTCAATCAATTGCAATAGAATGCTATGTGAAAGAGCATCATAAAGAGGTTAACCTAAAAAAAGTTTGGAAGGCATACAACCCCACCCCCTAAGGTTTCAAAGCAGGTTTGGGTTTAAAATGAAATCCTTCTTCAAACATCTCAAAAAGGACTGAGAACCCATCACCAAGTATGGAAGAATTATAGCACAATTTCAAGATATTCATTATAAACTGGATGAGATGCATTTGACACGAAATGTGTTACCTAACAACAACAAAAATCTGGATTTTATTTAACAGTCACCTTAAAAGGCTGTAAAAGGGTCCTTTTTGTATGTAACCAAATGTCTTGCAGGCACAGAAAAGTCATGAAAAAGGTGTTTGGTTCTAATCAGAACCTAAATGAAACTAGATGAAAAATGGAAAGCCAACATAACCTCATTACCCTGACAACGCCATTCCCCCAAGGTGGTAGCATCAACATCATGTGGAAATGCTTTCTTCTGCAGGTATCGGGAAGCTCTTCAGTTAATATGGAAATCGATGGAACTACCTACCAAGAAGAAAGCAAACCTAGATGCTTGAAGACACTTGAGAATATGAGGTCCACAAAGACTACACTAAACATTAATCCAGAGCTACAACAGAAATTATCAATATTCATACTGCCTGGTTAAAGTCTAGATTATCTACTTGCAGTCCAAATGAGCCATTTCCTCAAGAAATAATTTGCAAACATGTCAGTCTTCAGATGTATAAAACTGGTCTGTCAGTAGTTTTACCCCAAAAGCTTTGCAGCTTGTAAAAAGTAGTTCTGAAAAAAGCTATTTAGGGTTAACTACAAATACACCCAGCACTGATTTAAGTTGGATGTTATGTGCTACTTTACGCTTTTCTATCGCAAACGCCTAAAAATGTTTTGTATAAGACATGTATAAGACTTCCAGGTACATATCTTTGCAAGGTGCTATATTTAATAATACATAACTTATTACAATAAGGTTCCATGAACCCCCAAAGTGTAACTCAATTTCTTTTCATTTGCCGAGGCAGTCTTGTTCACTTTATGAGAAACAGGATAGTGCATCTTCAGTCTCCCTGTGCACCCACTCAGCCCACCCACACACATCGGAGCAACGAAGCACACTGCACAAACCAGAGCTGCACATGCTTCCTCACACAGGAAGAACACAACCCATCCTTCAACATGCTCATCGCACTCAAGTCACTCTTTCCCACTGTCTGTTGCACACAGTGTCATACACACTGTCACACGCTCTCATGTGATAGGCTATGCCACCAGCTGTAGAGATAGGACAGCCAACATCTTGTTAGAAGTGGTTTTGCGATGGCAGAGTGCAAGCATTTCCTTCTCAGGTTGACATTACTCCTCCTCCTCAATCTCATAAACATCCTCTATGGGTTTTATTTGGACCTATTCTTTTCTCCTACTCAGTCCCAGAGGTGCTACGGCCATATTCTGCTGTCTCTTTAATGACTGTGGGTGAACAATCAATATTATGCACACCTCCAAAGATAGCAAAACACCCACTTTGCACTGTAGATTGAAGTCTGACAGTGAAGGGAAAGACATATTTTAAAAAATCAGCCAGGGAATCGTTATTGCAGGGATACAGAAGGATCACCATGTAAAGTAGTTTGTAAAACATAAACCTCCCTGAAAAGTCTATGTAGCTAAAGCTGGAATATTTTAGAAGTAAAAGAGGAAGGATTTGCTTGGCTGGACATGTTCTATTTCTTAGACTGCTTGTCAGTGAGAGATGATATCTAGTCTCCTGGGTCATAATTAAAGATGAAGAAGCCAGGGCATAAACAGCAGGGGGCGCAATCACATTTTCTCCCATGGCTATTCAATTGGCCCCAACATCTTAGACACACCTACTGAATCTCGAGAGAGACAGACATGAAGATGCAGAACATTGAGCATATATAGGAAATCTTTTTGCTCGTTTTGTTGCTTTACAGCATTGGACTGGGAAAATAAATGTCTCTGAGTTGAATCAGCCTTATGAGGTGATTCATATGAGGTGGATATGAGGTAGAGAGACCAACAGGGTGTTTAAATATATTGTGAAATAATGTTTTTTTTTTTTATTAATTGATATACAGTGATAATAGAAACAAAGCTGGGTAAAGTAATATAAGTTCCGATATTAAAGAGAATGTGTCTCAGTAACATCACAGCAATCACTATAATCCAGAATTGTGACAGGTAAAAATGTTTTTTATTTCTGCTTACATCTTTCTGTCCGAATGTTTTTTTAATTATTTATGTAGGCCATTGATAAAACAAGTAAATGCCATCTTGAGTATGTATGACTTAACATAGTTGATTTAGCTGTACAGTAGAAATTAAATCTGAGCTCTAATACATTTATTTACTCGGCCATCTTCTTTCCTTCCAGTCTTTTTTTTTATTAACAATAAAACTGTGTTCAAAAGCTGAAAAACTACATCAAAAGAGAGAAATATCTAACAAGTGGTATTATTGAGAACAATGGTTTGAGTCATTTAATGTTAAACACCACTGTCTGAATCTCCATTTGTCTTCCTCTCATGTCCCACTTGATTAAGAGCCTATTAGAAGATGGGAGAAGTGGCAAAGTCTGCCTTTTACAGAGGGCAGAGGTGAGGGGAGAGGTTCAGCTTTGATGGCTCCACACATAAGAGGCTAAATCCTGGGTGGCTAACTGCTCCCACAGAGCTCTCAGTCAACCATGGCTCCTCCTCTGCAAAAGGCAACCTTTGTTTTCCAACAAAATCCAGTATAATAAAGACTATCGTAAAGTGTGAGAGATAAACTAAAATGCAGATGACTCATTAGTTTCTACAGGGTAATCTGGAGCCTAAAAAGAGAGATAATTGATAAAACATAGAGATTTTACATATAATAACGGTATACCTGAAATAAAATGACAAAAAAAAAAATCTGGTAGAGATCAAAAATGTCTAAGGAGTTAACATCTTTCAAATTAGGTTTTCTTCCTTATTTACTCTATTTAGTATTTTTTCCAGGAAGGCAATCAGTCTTTTTCCTTAAGTTTTACACAGCTTTAATGGGCTGGCCAGTACTTTTGATGTCCTCCCTCGTACTGCTCACTATCGTTTTTCTCAAAGAAGAGGCTACAGCCTCTACTCCACCAAGAGGACAGAGTAAGTATAGCTCTTTAGTTTTGGCCATTTTAGGGCTGATTTTAGTGTAAAAAATTCAAAGAGGTAAATTCCCTTGCAAAAGCAAAAACTTGAAATTTTCCATATTTGGGCTTTTTTTATTTATTTATTTTTACAAATACAATCTGAAGATCAACGATTTTGGCATGCACTTTGACTGGGTTTTTTTTTAACAGATTGTGTGTGAAATATGATTACATCCAAAATCTTCCATTCATTTTAGAATTGCCCTAATTTAGGAAATAAGTGAAGCTTGAATTGATACATAGAAAAAAAAGTAGAATAGTGGAAATATTGCAATGGAGGAAAATTAAGAAGAGGGCCAGTGTGTAAATACTAATTGTTATTATATTACACCATTCAACAAAAGCATCACAAGTGCATGTTTCCGGGTGTTTTGCTGTCATATGACACAAAATCTGGGTAAAACTTTAGTGCTTGTAAAGGGAAAACGATGAAAGATTGATTTACCTGATCACAAAGGATGCAATAGAAAGATTCACAATTTTTCTATTTTCTATATGTTTAATTATAAAGAAGTGTTTTTGCTTTTGTTCAAAGCAGAAGGGAGACAAAGGCAAGACTTATGAAATATTTTGTAGGTTTTTTCAAGAGCACAAAGTAAATAACTTAACATATAATATTCTTTCTTTTACTTTACGTTTTACATGATTTAAAAGTAATAGAATACACCATAGGTCCTTTTAAAAGTTCAAAGTTAAGAAGATAAAAAGGACAGATCTGCTCTATACATGCTGTCTCAGTGTCACATGAACATGCACACACACAGTTGGCTGTTGTTGGCTGTGAGTGGGGTACTGTGGGGAGAGTGGGGCTCAGTGTGACCAGGCAGAGGCCAGAGTTGGAGGCAGGCAAGCAGTGGAGAGAGTGCTGTGCCACTGAGACGTGCCCAGGGTGGATAAACCATGCTCAATAAACGGGAGAAAGACTCTGCCCAGGACACAAGATGAAGGTGGAGAGGAAGCCCTCCTCTAAAAGTGACAACTTCAGGGACATTCCTTCACTTCTGACATTCTTCTGCCTCCTTCTCCTCCTCCTCTTTACAGGTAGGTACAAATATCTGCCGTACAATTAACAAAATTAACCAAGATTACAGAAAATCTTAAAAAGATATTACGTGGCAAAACAAAGTGTCAGTTTTGTTTTATACCTCACATGGTTTTTATAATGGAGATAATTAACAAGTTAACTGGACTTCAGAGATTTTTTTTCCCCTTTTGTGTTCCTTTTTTTTTCCAAAATGGATTTGTTGAATTTCCATTTTGTGCTCAAAAAGAACTTGAAGTGGCTGGTGAGAGAGCGCATGAAGGGGACAATACAAGGTCAAGAGTGAGTAAAAAGAAAAAAAAAAGAAAAGAAAAATAGGATAAGAGGCTGTGAATTGGAGGAGGATTTGCTTTTCATGAGGAATTTTTTTATCAGTTCACTCCAAAGAAATAACTATGAAAAGTTACTTCCTAACAGTACCAAGGGCCCAGTTTACCCAAGCAAGCCAGATTTGTTTAGAATCACTGGATCCTGTGTCTATCTCCAGCTTCACCAGTGACAAAGAATTTCCCTCTGTTAGCCTCTCTCTCTCTTGCTTGAGCTTTTCAAGGGAGGAAACTCATTGCAACAATCGTGCCCTTTGTGTTATTGCCTTGGCAACTCTTGTCAAGGGGACCAAATGGTTACCACAGCAATGAGGCGATGCCCTGCTAACTGCCTATCTGTAAAAGAGCGCCACCGAGTCTCCGTCCCTCTCAGGCTGATCTCTCCATCACTGGAGCCTAACAGTAGGATGTCCCTAAACAGGCTCACAGCCAATGTTTGGGCCTCCATGTACCCAACTACTGCTAAATTATAGCTACCTCCACTGTGAACATAATAGCTTTGCTTTGTTTGGTTTCCAAGACAGGGCTTCATTGTAAAGGTAAAATGTGGCTTACATTAGAGAACTTTATCCCTGTAAGCTCGCAGGAGGTGGGTAATAACTGGGGAACACAAATCAAAATTAGTGCAATGCTTGTTCTCTCACTCTAAGAGGTCATGGGAAATTCCAAAAGGGAGTGTTTGAGAAGATTATTGATTGAGATATGTACGATCAATTAAAAGCAGCTGTGCATTATCATGTTTGTTTGAAGCTCTTAACTCCACTGACTAAAAAGGAAGGTGTTGTAAAAAGAGGGATCTTGTTAAAGAGTTTCATGTTTTATTTTAAAAAGGCATTATTAGTTTGCTGCTTAACCTTTCACTTTCTCATTTTTTTTATGTTAACATCACTCATGTTGGCCACTGTCCTTAAAATTGAAAATATACTTTTTTTAAATAATATAAGGAATGAGCTAAAAATATTTGTCACATTTGCTCATTATATCAGGTGTCCAAAAATTGCAAACATTATGTACATTTGTTCTGAATTGCTTTGGATAACAAGACAAAAACCAACCAGCAAATAACTCCAAAAACAGTGAGGGAGCTGTATCATTTGCTTTGTTTAGCATGCATGTTGGTCTTTGCAGTCCTTTTTCAGGGTCTAAAATACAATATGATACACAAAAATTTGTTGAAAACAACAGCAGAGGACTATTTAAATTGAAGCCAATTACATAAAAAAAAAAAAAATCAGTTAAAAAAGATAGACCATGATTCCTTTGGCTTCAAATATCCTTAAAAGTGAAAAGTGTGATTTTATAACCAAATGAACCAGGATCCACCCTTAAATAGATAAAACTATTGCTTTTGATTTTCTTGCAATGCATGGGGCCCTGTTTTTGGTTTTCTTTTGGCAATCCGTTTGGATTGTTTTGGAAGCTGCTTAATTGCAGCTGTGGTTACTCTAATGTATTTTTTTAGTGTTTGTTCTTTTTCTTTAATCTTTTTTACTTTAATGCTGTTTACCTTCTGCTGTCTCCATTGCTGTTTATTACTCATTTTGCTTCAGCTCCCCTGATCAGGATTTTCCAATGTGCAATAACTTTTTTCCACTGTTTGTGTATTTGGAAGCTGACAACTAGCATAAATCTGCATTATGTTCCACTTGTGCTGAGGCTGTGTGCTAGGCTGGGTTTGTTTTGGTGTTGTTTTCCCTCTGCAGGGTGTGATTAGCAGGTAAGGAGCAGCAGCTGTAGATCATCAGTGGCAATCAAATAGCTTAAGAGGGATACTTTTTTGGGAGAACGTCTGACAATCTTTACTGTTATCTTGGACTCTTACCTCACGTTTTGATCAGACTGTCCTTGCCAATAAATTAGACCCCTTCCTCTGGTGCTCTCACAGATCCCCAGCTCATTTAAAGGCTTAATCAACTCCTGAGATGCAGCTACCAAAATCTGAACCAACTGCCTTTTCACCCTCCAATGTTCTTGCTCTGCAGCAGCTTCTCCAAACAAAAGTTCCCACACCAAAGCAATTCTCAAACCAGCCCTCTCTTCACCTGACTTCTGTGGATACTTACCTTCCACTGGATCATCATTTACCTGTCACAGTAAAAGCTGTCAGAAATAACAATCTCACCTGCCTTCCATTAATAGACCAAACTTATTATAGTTCCTTCTTCCAAAGAACGCTTGAACAAAGCGCTGACTACCCTGTAACGCTATGCAGAATCTCCCTTAGAATTAAATAGTTTTAACTTAAACCCAAGGTCCATAATTGTCGCTTGCAGGAAAGGCAATCCAGTTTTGTGATAAGTTTGTGAAAAAGTTTTCTTTTTAAGTATTCCAATACATTACTTAACATTAAAAAATATTCTTAAATTTCTGTCTTTTTAGTTATGTATCGGAAACTTTGGACTTTTCGTTAAAGTTACTCATTTGTAATATTACTCCCCATTCCTACAGTTTTGTTTTTTCAAACAGCATTAATTATGACGTTGGTGCCCTTAAAAAGACACAGGTTGCACTCATTTCACTGCACAACATGGCAAGAGTATTACATAACCACAAGCTTATGAAAAGGGGGGGGGCATTAAATAGAGAGGCAGTGAAAAGCCCCCTTGTGTCTTTGGAACAGCTGCAGAGATCCAGAGCTTTTTATAGGTAATCTATTGAAGTTTAACTACACTCAACAAATATCACTTTAGAAGTGGAGTATTATGTGGAGCTGGTGTCAAGTAAAGCCCTTTGCTAAAGTTTTTGGAAAGAAGTGCTTTGGCACGATAAGGCCAAAATTAAACCCCACCAGTAGACTGTGTATGGTGGAACACTAATGTGTGGGATAATACCATGTACAGATCATACTTGGGGTAAAGGTAAGTGGAGGCAATATGGTACCACAGGAATCATCTTTATACACTGTGTATACAAAATAACAGTAAAAGTTGTCTACTGTATATCGATGGAATGAGCATAAGGAATTATCAAAGAAAATATGTATTTAGTCTGACTGAATTTTGACTATTTTATACTTAAAAGAATGGAGTGTACAAAGCTGACAGTGACCAACAGGCTAAAAGACCTTCACCTGTAATAGTTGAGGAAAAGATTCCCAGAAATGTATTGACTTACCAAGGCTGAATATACATGTTGATCACCCTTTTTAAAAAGTTCTTTAATAAACAGAATTAAAGAAGAGCCCAATTGTTTCAAACTTCTCTCACTTCACAATTCTACAACACATTGTGTTGGCTTGTCTACAAGAACCCTAACAGAACTACTTCCTTTTTGGTTGTATCCCAGGAGTATTCTTAAAACATTAATCAGGTATAATTACTTTGTCAAGACATACATTTTCTCCTCAGCTTTCATCTCACCAGCGTCTTTGCCTTACAGGGAAGGCATTGGGAGTAAACGTGACCAGCCAGACCCAGGTGGTGAGGGGCACGGTGGGCAGAGAGGCTCTTTTGTCGGTCAGCTACTCCAGTAGGAGCTCTGACAAACCTGTCATCAAGTGGCAGGTGAAGAAGGACAAAGTGAAGCCTGTCACTGTCGTTCAGTCAATCGGCACAGAAATAATTGGAAACCTAAGGCCTGAGTATCGTAATCGCATCCTGGTGTTTGAGAATGGCTCCCTGCAGCTTCAAAGACTGCAGCTATCAGACGAAGGAATGTACGAGGTCGAAATTTCCATCACAGATGACACATTCACTGGAGAGCACTACATCGAGCTGACTGTGGATGGTATTCATATGACATTTTTATACCAGATTGTTTTTTAGGGCTTTATGAAGTACAAATTAAAATATGGGGAAGAATTATAACATATACTAAATATATTCATCATATAAATATATTATATTAATTTATTTTTGGCTGTCCTGTACTGTAATCCTTTTATCCTCCTTAGTTCCTGTGACAAAACCTTACATCCAGATGATGGCCTCCTCAGTCCTTGAGTACAGTGAGCATTTCAACCTCCACTGCTCCCATGACAATGGCACAAAGCCAATCTACAGTTGGCTGAAAGGAGGGAAGGTGCTGACCAACGACACACGCCTGCTGCTTTCACACGACCAGAAGGTGCTGACTATCTCTCGTGTTCTGATGTCTGATGATGACATCTATGCCTGCACAGTGGAGAACCCCATCAGCAGCATGAAAAGCATCCCTGTTCGGCTCACTGTCTACAGTAGGTGATACGTTACACCAATAGAAGCTGTTGTAACACAATTTCATATTTAGAATGAGTTGATGGACATTTAAAAACTTTTTAAGTTGCAATTCATTTTTGTGTGTTATGAATGTATCTTAAACTATTTCCTTCTCAACCCTTAGGATTTCAGAAGCTTAGGACGGATGAAAAGTTACATCAAATGTTAATTTGTATATATATACATCTTCCAACAGCACTCATCAATGTATCAAGTTCTAAAAACCTAGTGGAAAACTTAAGAAAGTTACAATTATAGAAAACATTGTTTTAAGTCCAATAAACTAGAAGGAGTAAAAAAACTTATTTTATTTTGAAAAAACAACCAAAGTAAAAGGATAATTTGGTGTTTAATTCCTTCCTGACTGTCAGTGGTATTAAACAGAGTAGATGTCTCCTCAAGCTCTGCGTAGGTTGTGATTGTATGTAAACAGAGTCATGCACAAGACAAGTAGCCCGCCTGGATGCGCATCTATAAATAGCTCTTCTCACTGTCGACTGTTCCCATAAGTCAGTGATTCTGAGCTTATTGGTAATGGTAGGTCTAGAGAGGTATGTACACCTTTGGTGTTTTCGAAGTCATCCAGCCTGTGGCTTGTTAGTCGGAGTGCTTTGGAGCCCTCTAAGGATGTGGTTGACATGTCTGTTTGTTGGTGTGTTTGTTTGAGTGTCCTGCTGTGGAAGGCTCATCTGACTCTGGCTGTGACTGTTGTTTCTGCTGGCACTTGCTTCCCCCCTCAGCTTTCATTGAAGGCCCTCACAGGTTATCCAGTTGCCGCAGGCGTGTGTGTGGTCACATTATATTTACATTTACATGTCCATGCTCAGTTTGCCTGGTGCCTGCCCTCATTTTATACATTTGTACGGGTTGCTTTTGTGCGCCCTCTGTGGAATCACCCTCCAAGTAGAGGATGCACATGTTCTGTGCCCCAAATGCTTGGCATGGGTCATCTCAGGGAAGGTCTGACAGACCCATGCATGAACTGCAGTATCCTGCTGTTGTCTGTCAGAGAGGACAGGCTACATCAGGTGGAGAATTTACCATTTGCAGCAGAGCTTGCAAGCATCACAGTCAGCAGAGGAAGAGGACTGGACTGCAACACCCATCTTGGCAGGAGCATCTATCTAGCCAGGAAGCCCTCTCTGAGGACTGAGTTGGAGCAGTTCATGGCTTAACTCAAAGTTCCAGAGCTGATTCCTATACCCCAAGTGGTATCCTGGGAAGCGGAGCAGGATCCAGAGGACAATGGAATCTCTGTTAAGGCCTCTAATTCTGAGTTACAATACCTCAGGGATTAAGGACACAACTCCCAGACCCTCGTGGTCAGGAGTTTGGAAGGTCATGAACAATTGGGGAATTTCCCCAGGACTTCAGTGAGCTCTGACCCAGGGGAAGACCCATGTAAGCATCAGGCAATTATTATGGAAACCTTGGCCAGGGTCAGCCTGGACGATACATGGGTGACTCATACTGCAAGAAATCCCTTTTTCCACAGGGTCTCAGTGGCACCTTCATTTCAGGTCCCTTCATCTCTGGCCTTCTTGGAGGAGATTCAACATTGGAGAACAGATCCTAGGTGCCTCTCCCATCATGGTAGGGATGCACAGATCCTAGTGCCCTTGTGCAACCGCATGCTCCCAATGGACTGCTGCATCACCTTTCTGGTTTTTTTCTTTAGATGAGGAGCTCTCTAAGTGCCCATTGTTGGGTGATAGACAACTTTTTGTGCTGAGCTTAAAACATTGCAGCTCTAATGGCATATATTGTAAACACACTCTCCGTTCTGCTGCTGGCTTAGTCCTAGATGCTGCAGCAGGGCACAGCAGGTGCAGCACTGAGTAATACTAATTATATGGCCCTGCAGGCCTTTGGGCTCATGGCCAGGGAACTGGGTCACTTTTTGTCTACCCTGGTGGTCACCTGACATCAGGTCTGGTTGACACAGGCCCTGATCTCTGAAAACTTTAGGCAGAGCTTACGGAGGATGCCTGTGGTCCCATAACGGCTGTTTGGACCAGAGGCAGAGAGGGTGCTGAAGCACCATCGGCAATCAAAGGGGCCCCGGAATGTTGGAGTGGTCGCCAAGGGGCCATGAAACCCCCAACTCACAATGTACAATGTACGGGACCCACGCAGTCAGTTTCAGACTGCTGCTTCTCCACAGTTTGGGAAGTAGAGCCAGGCTATGGCGGAGCTTGGCGTCAGTCTCGGGTGGAGGAGGCTCCAACTCGCGGGACTGTGGTGGGGCCATAGAGAAGCCGGCACCCCCCCAGAAGCCAGGGCAGGAGGCAGAAAGCAGCCAGAGGGCTCCTAACAGTGGGGATGTTTTCAGAACAGCAACTGGCCTATTGGGAGACCCACTTCAGCGATGCATGGGTGTCAAAAACTATGATGCGCGGTTATAGGTTGAAGTGGGTGACTTTGGTCACTGATCCTGCATGGGGCTACAGTCCTGCTGCAGGAAATACAAGCTCTTCTAGACAAAGAGGCCATAGCGGTTGTTCCACCATGGCTGCAGGATGAAGGTTTTTACTCCACCAGGAGGGTTCCCTTTGGCCAGTGTTGGACCTCAGGGTGCTGCTTCTTGAAGTTTCTTTCTTTTCTCATGCTCTACATGTTTAATATCCTTCAGATAATCTGTCCAGGAAAGTAGGTTACATCCATTGACCTGAAAAATGCATATTAGCATGTTTCAATCTAGAGGTATATGCAGATTGCCTTTCTCGGCGTAGCATACACATTTTTTGGTACTGCCATTCAGGCTTTCTTTGGCCCCTGGAATCTTCACAAAGTGCATGAAGGCAGTCTTGAGCCCCCTGTACTGGTCAGCAGTAAAAATTATGTCATGAATAGCCAGACAAAGGGGACAAAGGATAGCCAGAATACTGGCTATTATTTCTCCCCTTCTCCTGAGCGTCAAATTTAGAGACATATTCTTGGGATAGCGGTGAACAATCAGAGGAGTGCTCTGATCCCAGCACAGCAGGCAGTCTTTATCAGTATGTACTTGGATTCGTGTCCATGCTGGCCCGTCTCCTCACCAGGAGGATAGATAGGATTCACCCTCTGTGGTCCAGTCCTTTCATGTGGGAGTGGCACTCCAAGTCAGACAATGGTTGAGCCTGCTGTGGATGTTGGTGGCAGCCTCAGCTCTGAGACCTATGGGGCTGCTTCATCCATGCCCCTTAAAGAGGTGGTTCAACCGCCTCCACATGGACCCCCAGCTGCATCTGCAGAAAAGGGTTCTAGGATGAGGAACTCTGTGGCAGATTATCTGTCCCCTTAGAGGCTTTGCCCAGGGGAATGGGGATTGCATCCATAGGTGGTTAACCAGATATGGGATAACCTTAGTATGGCCCAAGTCAATCTTTTTGCCTAGTTGTACGCATTGTCCCTTGTGGTTTTCCCAGGGAGAGGCCAGCACCCCACTAGGGATGGATGCCTTTACGAATGTATGGCCAGCTGAACTACTGTATGAGGCTCCGCCGTTTACAGTGCTTCTGCCCACTCTCCATCCAGTGAAATAATCTAACCAAAGGGTTTTCTTGGTGAATTCACCAAGGATTCAAAAGGAATTCACAGAACCATAGTTAAAAGGTAACTTCCTTTGTGTTTAGGTAAATTGTATAAACAAATAATGGTTTGGTAATGCATCTTAATGAGAAATTCAAAATTCTTTGGTCTAGTTTTTATATTAAAAATAGCAATCTGTGTCCCTTTTCAATTTTTTTAGCTTCCCTTTTGGGGTTAACAAAATGTTTTATTTAAACAGATACCTCATTTATTACCATTAAGACAATTGAATTGCCCTTTTTTTTAAACTGATGCAACTTGATCCCACTTGCATTAGAATACTTTAAAAATGTGAAGTATTTTTTACTTATAACACAATATCTTCCATTTTGCATACATGGGATATTTAAATGATGTGTTTTATCTAACCTTAAAAATAAATTCAAAAATTGATTAGTGTCAGTTTAAATGATACTCTCAAGATCAGGAGAAACTAACCACTGGTTGGGTACTATATTTACATTTGATTTCAACAAAAATAATAATATCAATATTGCTCTTAAGGTTTGTTTAAATGTATATTTTTTGCTAATCATTTGCATTTAAATTAATGTTTGTTTGCATGATCCCAGTAGCAAGCAAACAACAGCAGAACGAAACATTTAATGACATTGTTTCATTTAAGGAAAGTTAAAAGAAACAATTATTTAATCATCAAAACAAGCCAAGAACTTGGGGCATAAAAAGAAAAGGCATGGAGAGCAGGTGAGAGAAATCAGGTAAAAACAAGCAACAGCTGAGAAAAATAAGAGCTGAGGGAAAAGGAGAATGATACACAGGGGCAGAATGTAAAGAACAGTGACACTGGATCAGATCACAAGTCATAATTTAAACAAAATAAAAATTATTAGAAAACACAGAGAACTTGCCACACAAAGTGAATATAAACAATAAAGAAGCAGATACATGAAATAGACTTGAATTTAAATCACTACAAAAAGTAAGCTTGAAAAACATTTTTTGCAAACTACAGTAGGAATGAATAGTCAATTTTTACTTGATGGTAGGTTTTTTTAAACTACATTTGTTGTGCAAATAAGATATATTTAATGAGCAACCCCTAGAAAGGGTTGCTGATATGTTATTTAATCAAATAATATTCAGACAAATATTGTACTGTGAACACATGCCAAACTTGCTGTATGCTAGGACAAAAAAGTGTGAATCGAGCTTAAATCATGGTCAAACAGATAACCGAAATAGAATTAGAAAGGCATAAGGAAGTAATTTTGTCCTTAAAGCACTGTGGGGGTGAGGAGTGCATAATCCTATGGGAGTGTTTTTTACACCTTTGCCACTGGCCAAAAAAAGTTGGAACCTACAAACTATCAGCTTTTAGTGGCAGTAGGAATGACTCACTGACCCACGTTGACCCAGGTCAATTGGCTCAGCAAGCAACCTGGGTTTAATTGCCTTCAAACGGTAAACACGCTAATTTTCATGGTACCATTGAGATAAAAAAAAAATGTAGGTCACAACATCAAGCCAGTCACATCTGATCTAACAAGCCGAAGAACTCTGCTTACATTTGATAAACACGGCAGAGATATGTTGAGAGAGATTTAGCACACTTACTATGTTCTGCCTCCCTTCCATGTTGCTCTCCATTGTTTACTTTCCTGATTTTTGTTGCACTGATGACATCAACAATGCTAACCCAGTGATAACATTGATGATATATTTTTCTGTCTATCACTGCTGCGTGTCTAGTATCACCAGACACGCAGGGCTACGCAGCTGTCCAGCAGACCAGGTTTTTGCGGCAATGAGCAGGGAGCCAAATGGCAATTGTTAGCGGGTCCATCCATGTTTGAAAACCCTGTGCTAACCTGTTTATTTCATTGGGAAAGAGGCTTTGTAAAGGTTTTTTTTTTGCTGCATTTGGAGAGGAGACCAAAAGCTGAGCAAAACTGCATGTTCCTACACTGATGATCATGGACAATATCAGCATTGACATGCATCCCCAATGCCCAAAATTGATACCATGGTTTATGGCCCAACAGTTTTATGATGAGTATGGAGAAAATGAGGAAATAACTTTTTCCCAAGTCCATTTTTATGAGCTTAGGAAAGCTACAATTGTGTAAAAAGGGGAAGAATACTTTCTTGAAGTGTTGCTTGATGCTCACTCTTAGTTAGCTCATAAAAGATATTTTTTAAACTACAAAAGTTTCTAAATCAGTCTTTAACTTTAACTACATAAAAAATGTTCATGTTGTTGACAACAAACTGCATAAAATCCAGTTTTAGAGAAGTCTTTGAATTTGTTAATTTTTAGCCCATGTGTCCAGCAGCCTTTAGTCCCCAGAATAAAAAGAAACTTCACAACTTTAGACTAAAATTGAGTGGTAAAGCAGAGATCTATATAAACTCTTTAGAAGACATCTAGAAAAGACAAATAAAGATTGAGGACCATTTCAGAAGTTTAAATATTCCCTCTTGGTGGCAAAATAGCAAAAACCTACGGATATATCAGGCCAGTCAGTACTTTGTTTACTAAACATTTTCGGAAGCCCATCAAAGCAATCAGCTCAGGCCAACAGTACACATGCATACAGGCCTCCCTAACAATGTTGTTTACGAGTGCAAATCACGGCTGTGTTTGTAAGAGGGTTTGCCTCAAGAGGGAGAGAGAGAAAGAGAGAGAGAGAGAGAGAGAGAGAGAGAGAGAGAGAGAGAGAGAGCGTGAGAGGGTGAGGCAGTCTAATCCAATGAATGAAGAGTTATTTATGAGGAGGGAGACGGAAAAGTTGGCAGGTGGGGAGGATACTTTGCCTCAGTGAGCATTAGTAATTCTGACTTCATTATTGCTGTTCTGTTATGTGCTGCATGAGCAGGCAGCTACGGGCCTTCAGACATGCTCCATATTCCCTCTGCATACATAGCAGTACTTCACAAAGACTCAGACGGACATCCAAGTCATTCCAACACAGTTTCAATATCCCTGTGAATAAAATATGTAAAAAAAAAAAAAAGGAAATTACTAATTAGGTTTGATTAAAATTGGGTAGCTGCTGTAAATTTTAGAGAACTTTCGTTAACTTTTATTAATGGCTTTCCTACTCTGTTTTTTCTCTGTCTATCAATCTGGTTCAGGACGGAGCTCGTTATACATCATCCTGTCCACCGGGGGAATATTCCTCCTAATCACCCTGGTTACAGTGTGTGCTTGCTGGAAACCTTCCAAGTAAGAACTGTTCTTTTATCTTTTTTCCCTTGGTTTCCACCTCTTTTCCTCTCTTAACTTCTTTTTTTTATTCTACTCTAACTAAACTAAAGCATACAATGATGTGACAAGAATTTAAAGTAGCCCTGTGTTGGAAAAAAAAACAACAAAAAACATGGCACTTACTGTGCCTGAGTTATGGCGAAAGATTGGAAAATATTTGGGCATAATTTAATATTTCTTCGGTCTTGTTACAGGAAGAAGCATCGACCTGTTCCCCAAAGAGCTCCAGTTTATATGGAGCAAGGTGACAATGGCCATGATGGTGAGACACAGCTTCAACTCTCTTTTTATTTTCTACAGTGATATTTAAAAATTTTTTTTTTTTTTTTTTTTCTTTTTTGGGTTTGGCAATTGGTTTGATCCAATCATCCATAACTCATCAACATAATGTTAAAAGTCTTCGTAGATCACAAAGACATGTCATATGTGTACTACTAGTGACTGTTAGTGCACATTTAACATAAAAAATCTTATTGGAAGTACTTTGACATCAAATTATCTTTTTTGCACAGAAATGACTTATCTAAAAATACCTTAAATGACAAGTATTAAATTCCGTATGTGAATAAAAAAAATTTTTTTTTGTTCTGCTGGCAGTAGAATGAATATCAAGTTTTAAAGGCATCAAGTTGAAGGTTACATTGATGATGATAAAAATGACCCAAATAATAATTATTAGTATTACTTATAATGCAATTCCCATATAAGTCTTTCAAAGTACTGTAAAAAAACAGTAAAGACATTTAAAATGTCCAAATGTTTAAAGCTAAAGTTAAAAGTGTTATTTAAGTTATTATATATCAGTCAGAAAACTTGGGAAAGCTTTTTATTCATTATACAAACACAATGATCCATGCAAATCTTTAGTAGATCAGGCCTTAATTACCTATATGTATATATGTTCTGCTCACTATATTCTTCTAAATAATGCCTGCTTGATTTAGAATATCTGGATTTAAATCTCTAAAATGTAACTCCTATTTGTGTTTGACTGTAAATAAATTCTGAAGCATAGATCCAATCGACAGTAAAATCTTAACCTGCAAATATTGATTTTTCAATATTAAGTTAAGGGAACATAAGATATTTAAAGATATTTAAAAAAAAATCCTAAAGTTCCTGCTGTTAGCAGTTTTTTTTAAACCAAGACACAGATGCCACATGCTCTTGTGTGCATCTCAGAGTAAACTAAGTGGAATATAAATTTCTAATTAATCATAAAAAAATACAAAGTGTATAGATCAATGATAGGGGTGAAATTTGGAATGTATTGTTTTTTTTGGAGGTGAATTTAAAGCAAATTCAAATAGAGTAGATAAGAGGCAGAAGCCAATACCAATGAAAAATTATATTCAATTGAGTTTAATCATGTAACATTAATTTACAACACATATAATCTCAATGCACTTTACAGAGAAAATACAACCAGATCATACAGTCAGACTGGTTCAAAGTTTCCTATCTAAGCAAAACCAGGTGATTCTCATTGACTAGACACCAATCTCTCACTCAAAGCATGCATGTAGTGACAGTGGAGAGAAAAAAAAAACTCCTGTTAAACAAGAAGAAACCTCCAGCAGAACGGGGCTTAGTGTGAATGGCAATCTGCCGTGGCCGACTGGGGTTCAAGGAGCAAGGTAGACAAGCTCTGAGCCAGCTCTAATGTCAGAGGATGAAATAGAGCACATACAGTTAGTCACAGTCAGAGAAACAGGACTACACTAAGAAACAGGCCAAGCTCCAACATCTATAAACAAAGGTGTTGATAACAGCAAGCCAGCTGATATTTCTCTCCGGATGGGTGTCACAGTCAAATAGGAGCAGACCAGATAAAGCCAATATGATGACAAAAAGCAGGAAGAGCATACAGTTAGAGGTTAAACTAACAAATAATGCAGAATGGGGGAATAGAGATAGAATGAAGCAGAATGATAAAAAACAAAAAAAAATGGTCTCTATGTCCTCCAGTAGTCTAAGGCTATAGCAGCATAACTATCAAGGTAGCTCAGGATAACCTGAGCCACTTTAACTATAAGCTTTATCAAAAAATTGAAGAAAAAACAATTTTAACCCTAGCCTTAAAGTAGACAGGGTGTCAGCCTCATGGATTAAAACAGGTAGTTGGTTCTAATGAGCCTGATCTATGTACACCCAGATCTCTGATATAAGATAAAGCTTGGCCATTTAAGGCTTTATATGTGAGAGGGAGGATTTGTTTTTTCTATTCTGGATTTAACAGGAAGCCGATGATGAAAAGGTAGGATATGAGAGATGTGATCTCTCTTTTTAAATTTCATCAGAACTCTGGCTGCAGCATTTTGGATCAGCTGAAGGCTTTTAACTCAATTTTGTGGACTTCCTGATAGTAAAGGATTACAATAGTCCAGCCTAAAAGTAACAAATGCATGGACTAATTTCTCAGCTTCACCCCTGGTTATTTCTAATTTTTGCAATATTCTGGAGATGATAGAAGGAAATTCTAGAAACCTCTTAGATATAGGGTTTAAATTACAGGTGATGATCAAATGTAACACAAAAGGTTTTTTTTTACTTTATTAACTGAGATCTATTTAATCCCATCTAAATAAAGCAACTGACTAATCAGCTTCTTTTTTTTAAAGACTGGTCTTAAGACAATAACTTGTGTTTTGTCTGCATTAAGAGCAGAAAGTTGCGAGTCATCCAGGTATTTATGTCGTTAAGACATAAAAAATGGCTCAAAACATGGAGGAAGACCCACACTAGGACCCAGCAGAATCAATCAGGAGAAAATATAATTGGAGACATATACCCAGAGGAGTGAGAGCTAATTTTGGGACCATAGAAACATGAGTGAATGGAAACAACTGCAACTGACTTCACAAGGGAAAACAAACAAGGGTAACTGATTCATTGAATGGCTGTACCTCAATTAAAACACCGAAAGCAAAACTCAAACCCAAAAAAAGGAACTAATCAAAAGAGACTGAGAAACTCAGAAACTGACACTAAATAGGAATATGTGGATTAAAACAAAACACCTTGGTCTAGGAAATAGTTGTGCACAACAACAAATAATATCTAAAGACAATTTTAATCAGAATCCTGGACATCTTCAACATTTAGACATCTTCTGTCTAAAAAGCAAAAATATATTTTTTACAAACCTCTAATACTGTACTTAGAATTACTTAGACTGAAACTTCCCAGACTAAAAAGTATGAATATTCTAGTGTGTATGTATTATGCATTCATTAATCAGTCAGAGCCATTTCTCTGTCTAAATCATAAAAGGTTTCTCTAAAAGGTTTTTCTTTTGCAGTTGATGTGGTGCCAAAGCCAACTACTCTTGGCCGAAGGAGCCCTATGCCTCTTTATGTTCTCAACGAAGATGTGAGTCTCTTATTTTCAAACCCTTGATTTAGGATCAGTACATCCTCATAATATTGTATATTTGAGTTTGAAATTGACTAAAATCTTAAAGCATAATCTTAAACCGTCTAATAGGCCATTGGTGACATTCACAAAAATTGTAAATTCAAATTCATTATCATTTTAGTTTAATATGTGGTTATGCAAGTAATTACTTAAATGATCCAAGAATAAAGAGCTACTTTTTCTGATGTATTATTTTTCAACAAATGCACTCGATATTTTAATCAGTTTGCATTTACATAATGCCCTGGCTGTAAAGTCAGTTTAAGAGTTGTAATATTACAGTTAGTTAAAAGAAAAATCAGGAGATTAGATAGAATTTTGTAAGTTTTAATATCCATTGAAGTTTTTTTACATTTTGTCAAACTGCCCACAATTTCATTGGTATTTTACTGTCATGAAAACGGGGACGGATGATATTCAAGGTGAGACAGACAGTGGGAAAGTTCAAATCATTTATTAAAACAACACAAAACATACCAGATGCAGAGCTGTGGATCACAGACCGCAGCGGCTGCAGGGGGGAGGCGAAGCACTGCCCAATCACTGACACTCTGGTGGGAGAAACACAGGTAAGTGACCACGATCATCTGACGGGGGATGATTTTCTGTGTGAGTCACTTACGTGGTTAAGTAGTTCAGTCCATCCTCTCAGAGGAAGGGAAGATCTAGCCGATGGACTGCCCAACAGGCTGCAGCGCAGAGCTGCCCAGAGTGTCCCCGATGCAGCAACATCAGTAAGCAGGCAGGAATCCGATCCAGTTCAGGGAAAACAGATCAGCTCTGTTCTGGAATCCAGGAGTCCGCAGCCCAGTCAGGTGTTCCGATCCACGCAGGAACAGACAGATCCAGGGTTCCAGGAATCCACAGAGCATGAAGGCAGGTTCAGAGTTCCATTATAAAAAAAAAAAGCAGGCTGGAGTCGAGATATGACCTCAGACAGAAACGCACAGACAGGCAGGCTCAGTGGTTGAGGGACAAAGACAAGATATGGTACCGGGTGAACTGCAGAGCTTTGAACTGTACCCCACCTAGGAACCAGGATTAGGGGACTTTAAACTAGCTTCCCCCCTGCCGAGCCAAAACAGGTACCAAGAGCACTCAGCGGGAAAGAGCCAGGACACAATCAGGAGACGACAAGACAAACACTAAAAACCTCTCAAACCACTGGTCTCCAGGGATGGGGACACGAACCTTGGAAAACCTAAAACTAACGAAACAAAGAAACAACAAAAAATGATCTGGTCCCGCTAGCTGGGCTGACCCTTATATAAAGCAGAACAAGCAGGTGGATGAGATGAGTGATATTTAGAGATCGGACAGAGTTGGGGAGGTGGTGACATGAAGAATTAAGGTCAGCTATCAGGGCAGATGATGACATTTACAGGGTAAAGAAATGCAAAGTGACTCATGTTGAGCTAAAGTAAAAGGACTGTTATTTTCTTTTTTTATCAGAAATGTAAAAAGTATGGATCATGTTTGTACTCAGCCTTATAGCGTAATACTTCTTTATAAAACAAAGTTTAAACAATTTCCTTTAGAGGCAACATCTGAAACAGAACAACAAAAAGAAACCTTTGGTTTGGTCCTCTACCTGAACTGACATTCTATGTAAGGAAAGTACTTAGCAGAGAATAATTCAAGTACCACTTGGTTACTCTGGGAGAGGTTCAGAGATCTGCAGCTCAGGTGAGAGGATCTGTTAATGCATCAAGCAGAAGTAGAAATAACCCTTCCTAAAGGAGTAGCGGGAAAAATGCCAGTGTTAAAAGTCAGCAAGAATAAGTCTGTCAGGTTTCAGCAGCGATGACAGAAGAAACAGGAGAGTTAAATATGTTTTTTAAGACAACCTGCTTATAGACTTGGAACAAACATCAGGGGATCTGACATCTGAGATACTAAAGCAAGGAGTTTGATGTAAGATTGATTAATGCTACACAGGCTAGCTAATGAACAGATGTGGAACTACTGATGCAGAGCAAGATGCTTAGTCTCTCCGGAATAGAGCAAACACTAAAAAATACCACTAAAAATAAAACTTATAGATCATTGAAACACCAAACTCAACAACAGAAAACCAGAATTGCAAAGCTAAATCACCTACAGGTTCTGATAAAGATTCACTCTGAAACAATCCATAGAGAACATTTTATATCAGAAGAAGATGCATTGATCAGAACAGCCTGAAAAGGCTATCCCCAAAGTAAAATATGCAGGGACAACAAAGCAGGTCAGAGGTAAAGGAAATAAATGTAAGACTTGAGGTTACCGTCTATTGACTGAAGACTGAAGTTAAAATTCAGGCCATATATTTTGACAACTATTTAATATTTTCCTTCAACTTTGCAAAGAAGCAATATTTGGTATTGACCTATAATAAAGACCATAACAGAAATATTCATTGATGATGATATTTGCAACCTGAAAATTTTTTTAAAGTGGTAAAATTATAGAAACATATTTCTGGTCAGCAATGCTCTCTTGGGTATAAGATTATTGGCTACACAAAGGATGTATAAAAAGAAAAAAATCTCTAATGTATGTTTTCTTCATTAAGGAAACTTTGGAGCATCTGGAAGAATCATCAGGCAACACTGCCATCCAATCAGAAATTAATATCCCTGCTACCTATGTCCCAGTCCTTCCTCCTACCACCAACAGAACTGAGCGGCCAATCTGGTCGACACCCCGCAGGTACCCCCGGAGCCCCTCTCCCCTGGCACAGCCTCTCCCTCAGCCTCTTCCTGCTCCTATTCTACGTCCGGTTTGTTCCCCGGCTCACTCCCCAGGATCGTCCCCTCGCAGTTTCAGCCCAGTGAGGAGAGTTCGTCCTGCAGTGGGCATCCCAACGAGCCACCTGCCTGTGGAGGCAGAGTGCTCAGATCCCAGCGATCAGACTCTCACTTCCTCACAGCACTGATAGCCATCGTGATAATAGTTTTCACCCAGAATTATGTAAAATGTATGTTTACTTTGGATTCCACTTTCTAGGCTGACAGATGGGTTTCACCTTTTTTATGTTCCAGTATTTATGATGCACTTCTTTCGACTATGCACAATAACTGGTACAAGTCAGTCTAAAATATTTTCCTATCCACCAGCATGTAGCTTATCCTGTAATTCAGTTTTCTGTAATTTGATTGAACTATGATGAATTACAGATTTTAAAGGTCCCATATTATGCAAAATGCACATTACAAACCTTTTGTAACAGTTATATGTGTCCTGAAGCCTGTGTATGAGGTTCACAAATGAAAAAAAAAAACTTTGACTTCTATCATTGTCTTTCTCCACCTCTCAGCTGATGTGTGCTCAAAAATTTGTGTTTGATATTCCTGCCCCTTATGATGTCATAAGGGGAAATTAGCTGTCTAGAACGGTCTGTAGCAGCCCATTGGTCGAGCTTTGGTTCTCAGTTTATGTATTATTCAGTGCTCCTGGGCTATCTTTATGAGCTCTGACCAGTTGTCATAGTTGCGAGTTGTGAGGGGGGGTCACCCTTCAGGAGGAATTTCCCTGCAAAAACATGCTCTGGGGGCCTTGTTAACATTTTTATTTTCAAATGTAGAATAATATGGGACCTTTAAATGAATTACAAAACAGAGTCCACATTTATTGGCACCCATGTTAAAGATATATAAAACTTAATAAACTAAAGTGTGCTTTGTTGCTGTAGCATAGTTTTTGACAAACAACAATAAAAAAAAAAAGCCAAATCATTAATAAATAAATTTGCAAACTCAGGAGAATAATTCCTATGTTAAAAAAATTTTTTTTTTAGGTCAAACTTGCCCCGTCAATCCCATCGCGCCTTTTTTTTACCTAGCAGGACAGCACTTTGTCTATTTCTATCAAATTTGACAAGATGATGGCATAAATAGAGAGGGATCTTTAACCATACCCCTTTGCACGTCCATTATAATGTTCATCTTACCAAGTTTACCAAATTTCTTTTTAAATGTTTATTTACACTAAAATGTTATGATATCATCCACTCAAGTAAGGTTCCAGAGGGCTATTGAAGGAAAAACAAGCCCAAAGCATTAGAGGGCCTCCTCCAAATGTAACAGTGGATGTAGTCCTCAGAATCTTTTAACTGTTTATCTGGGGGAAAATAAGGCTTCAGATATATTTTTAAAAGGTTTTATTTAGCACCAGGGATTTTGTTAACTAGTCCTTCTTAATAAGGTATTATCCCAGCATTAAACAAATTATACTCAAATTGATTGATGGTTTGTTTTTCAAGAAGAAAAACCTAAGAAATTTTGCTACTCCAATGTAAGATGGGGTGCCAATAAATGTGGCACCACTTCTGAGGCCTTCACACAATATTATTAGAGGTTAATAGTTTCTGTTTTGAAGTATTTGTTTATTTTCCTTTCAACACACTAAACAGTTTTTTCCCTCCAAATTAGGTCACTTTATAACATAAGGATGAAAAGCTTTTCACTATATGTTGTATTTAGTCATGAATGTTATAAATAAATAAATCCCCCAGCTCCTCCAAGCTATATGTCATTCTTTATTTTATGGAGACAAACACGTCATAATTTCATTTTTGCTAAGAAAAAAATATATATATATTTTGCTTTGCTAAGGCAGCTGAAAGTAAAATTTTGATACATAATGTCATTGTAATTCTTCTTTCTTTCACTAGGTGTCACCCAAACATTTAATCTGACCAGACTACACTTTGTAAAAAAAATTATGAATGATTGGCTGCTTTTCATTAACCTTTCCACTTTTTACCCAAAAAGTTGAACAAGATTTATAAAATTTTGATCTTATTTTATCTTTCTTTATGTCGTTCACCAATTTGAAATTGTATTTTGCCAAATGACTAAATTAAGGAGCAGCTTTCTTAAGCCATAGATCATCATCATGTTAAAAAAAGATGCTAAAGAGATCTATCTTAGGTGAAAGAGTGTTCAAAACTATATAAGTTTGTCCTGGAATTAAAAAAGGGCTTGAGCTTAAGTACTGATCCCTTTAAGAGGAAGAAACCTGGAGCAGAAACAGACTCAGTTTGAAGGGGCAGACTGTATGAGATGACAGTATAAACACAGAAAAATAAATAAATATACATTGATCAAAGAGTTCTTTTTACGTTGAAGAAATTTAATATGTAAAAGAACTAGCAGCTTCTTTACTGATGCTATGTAGTAGATGAACAAGACTAGGCTGATCAGCTCTGAACAAGTTTCCAAGTCTATAAATATAGCTATGTTCATACCTTATTGAAGAAGAACAGGAAGCTGTGGTAGCAGTAATCCAGCCAAGGCCCCCCCATTCAGGACAGTTCAGGAGAGCCTGTAAAAGATCTGCCTCCCACTTAACTTTTAGAAGATGTAGGAGATACAATTAAACCTGGAGTGGGAGAATGAAGTGCTCTGTTAGGAAGCCTGATGATCAGGATTTTTTCAGCAATAGAGAAGTAGATTACATGGTTTCATTAGCTTTGCAGCAATTCTTCATAATGAGTATTCATGTGGCGACAGTGGAAAGGAACAATCCCTTTCACCATTATAAACCTCCAGCAAATATCAGCTTAGTGGGAGTTCCGTCCCGTTGGCCGCAGCCACTGGGGGTTTGTGAAAATGAAGCTGACTGACATGGAGTTAATGATGCTGCAGCTTCTTCAACCAGGAGAGAAACACAGTAGTAAAAAAACTATTTCTAAAAGATATCAGTGACTTTTTTTCTTCTGTGCTTTGGTGTTTTACTTTTTCTGACAGTAGGAATTTAACATTGAACTACTTTTTTATCTTTTAAACAAGACAATAATTGCTTTGTTAGTTTTTTATTCTGAAAATATGAAATCATAATTTAAAAACAGAATTGTATATTTGCATGGGTTATAACGTGATGAAAAAAGCCAAAACAGTAAAACTCCTCAAAAGGACCAACACATAAATCACAGCTATGTATATGTTCTGTGCACCAAACTCTGTTGTAAATTGAGCTTTTGTCTTTAGCAGTATGGCCCCCAGGTCCTTCAGTGTGCTTGTTTGTGCATGCAAGTCCCTGTCAAGGGTTTGTGATCAGTCATACCAACAGATTTTTCCGCCCTGTATAAACAACACAGTCCCACGCCAAAACAGTCACCGGAAAGGAAACTAAATCTGTTGAACTGCCTTCACAGATTTAGCCTTCAGTTTTACTTGTGCAGATCTAAAGATAAATAAACACAGTGAATAAAGCTATCACTACTGCATTTCATCAAAAAAAACTATTAAATAGCTCCAGAACCATTTAACTCACTGTAAAGTTGGAGATTTGGCAAAGTTAACAGCTTTCAAAAGGATCTTAAAGCTGAACGTTGGATGGATGGATAGTAAAAAAAGAAAATCCCTGAAAAGTAAAGAATTCACTAATGGTTTTATACAGCATCTGTTTTAATTCTAGACAAAAAATCGAACCAGTATTTAATATGTTCTATGTTCCAGATCTGACCCTATCTAAACTACTGGAAGTTTCTCAGATTGAGTCTTTACTCAGCATAAATATAAATACGCTGAAGTTTAGTATTTGTGAAGAAGGCTAAATGCAGTCTAGAGTCCGTGAAAAATATCTGAAAAGCTCAAGTATGTGCAGATTAGAAAGATTTATAAGCAGAGGCAAACTGCAGCTGGTCATCTTTAGTCTTCTATTGTATATTGATCATATCTTTACAATGATTAAACTGCAAAAATAGTTTAAAAAACAAATGAAAACAAGAAGGCTCATTCACCTTCTTCACATCCAGAGTTTGTGTCATGCCGACTCCTCGTGCAGTCCAGAAAAAGTGACATAGTGCAAACGAGGTGTATCTGACAAATTACTTTTTTCATTGGTAAACACAGCACTCACTTGTCTACGTTACAGTGGGCGGTGAGTCCAAATATCCATGCAGGAAGTCTCTTAATTAGTAAGGCTTCCGAACCACACACAGGAGGTACTCTCAAAAGGGATAGGAATCATATAAACCCCATTTCATAACAGAAGTAGGTTTGTATAATAAATCTACATGACCATTATAAATTTGTGAAACACAAATCTGACAACAGCGCAATTTCTTCATCAAAAACTACATTGTATTTTATTTGAATTTTTTTAGGCTAATAGAAAATAATAACTGTAATAAAAACGTGAAAGATCTCAATTTCCTTTGTGATATTAAAAGCCTGAACTTTTATTCAGCAGCTTTGACTCTAAGCCCGCTGTTCTATAAAAGCCTCTAAGACTTGCTACAGAACATTGGTGAACAAATTGTGTCACGAAGATCAAGTAGAAAGGCTAGGAATAAAAACAGTACAAAACAGTCAGCACAGCCTCTCAATGGTGGCATTATCATGCTATGGGGATCCTCTGTGGTATAATTTACATCAAACCACTGTGTGTGCAAAGCTGCTGGATCCACTGTTAAAGACCCCCAACTTTAATTCCACTCTGGACGGGTTTTTAGCAACCTTTCTATTGTTTGAAAACACAACTAATTTGCATTTTCTTTATTTCGGTTTTTTGAAAGTTTGCTCAAAATCTAAATCACATTTGAATGGAATTTCAGCTACTGTCTTTATTTGAAAGCAATGCTTCCATCTTTTTCATCTTTCACAATAATGTACAAGTTTTGTTGGTTAATTACTGTATAGTATTTAAAAACATAGCCATAGTTGACAGAAACATGCAATGCAAAGAAATTTAATTTAAAAGTAAAAACCGCTGTTTATGAAATAAGATCCCATTCAAAAACCAAAAACCATCCATCCATCCATCCATCCATCTTCTTCCGCTTACCCGCGGTCGGGTCGCGGGGGTAGCAACTTCAGTAGGGAGGCCCAGATGTCCCTCTCCCCAGCCACTTAGGCCAGTTCCTCCGGCAGAAGGACGCTCCCAGGCCAGCCGAGAAACATTGTCCCTCCAGCATGTCCTGGGTCTCCCCCTGGGCCTCCTCCTGATGGGACGTGCCTGGAACACCTCACCAGGGAGACGTCCAGGAGGCATCCTAATCAGATGCCCGAGACACCTCAACTGGCTCCTCTCGATTTGGGGGAGCAGCGGCTCTACACTGAGTCCTCCCCGGATGACTGAGCTCCTCTTCCTATCTCTAAGGGAGAGCCCAGACACACTACGGAGAAAACTCATTTCAGCCGCTTGTATCCAGTTAGTTTTATCCTTTTTTATTTTTTTTGTGGTTGAGGATTTGAACACAGTCCTTTTAAGGAACCAATGGAAGGAAAATAATGCTTACAGACCCTTTTTGCTGCTTTTATTAAAGAACTTTAATTTTACTTTGAGAAACTTATTTTCAAAATAACTGAACTGCCCTTTTTGGTAAAAGATGTTTTCTTTAGCCAATTATGATTCTGGTGACTTGACAATTAATCTTAACAGTTCTGAAATGTATCTCTAAATATGTATCATGAACATTCTGCCCCGCCATCGCTGTTTTACTTTGTGTGCTTGAACTTGTTGTTCCGATGTGACAGCTTTTCTTTGCATAAATATATTAATACACCAACTATATGATTTATTCCCCCTTTCTTTGAGCTGCCTACTATCTAAAAACTAACAAACAAATTAAATAGAAATAAATGTAAGAACAGCGCAATAACACTGAAATTGGTAATGCAACGTATTTACATGTGAAGTAAATGTGTGAACATTCATGCACTTAAATTGGCCCGATCTATCGGTGTAATCAGAACAATGTGCTCTCCTCAGTGGTCCAGCTGCACATGTTTTGTCATGGAAATTCTCCTGATTTTATCGATTGCTTTTATCTTGAAATGGATCTTCTTTCACTAAAGGTGTGAGCCCTGTGGTTGCATAACCTAATCAGATCCGCTTGGTTTGATCTGCTCATTGCCGTCTTTGTTCTAATGGAAACACCATTTGTCCACTGGTGCTCAGACTCATGAATACACAAGCAGGACAGTGTACTCACAGGGAAAAAAAAGAAAAACACAGAAAGGTGTGGAACATGAAATGTCGTCAGATGGTAGAAGTGGGTCAGTCTTGTGGAGCTTTGGAAAGTTGCTTTTAATCTCTGGGGATTTCACTTATCAAACAGCGGTCACACAGTCTGTCCTGTCATGTTCCACCTTTCCTCTAGTGTGGCAGGAGAGCTGGGAAGGGGAGTAATTAGACTCTGGGGAACTGCATCACTTTAGAGAACAAAGAGGATATGTGTTTGTGGGTCTGCATGTGTTGAGAGAAGGTGTCCTCAGAGTTGACAGGAGGTGATGTGTGCTATCCAGTTCCAGATAATCACCTCCTGATACCTGTTTTAGCCTTGCTGTAAATGTTCCTGTTAACACCAGTAAGATCATGGGAATTTCCATACAGAAGAGGGATTTTATCATTGAAATGTTTTTTTTCAAAAAAGTTTTGTGGTTAAAAAAGTTAAAGGATAAACAGGCGCAATTACAAATCATTTGATTTAAAGTGAATCTTTACACTTCCCCTCCTAATTTGACTTTATTTCTCCACGACTTTTTCACACACAAAACAAATGGAAACTTATTTATTACACTTATTGATTTTAGCTTCTTTATATCAAGGAAGTATTACATTCTTTATTGTAATATAATACAAATGCAAATATTTGCCTAATATTTTTTCCAAGCAATGCATTAATAATCTGTAAGGTTTCCATGGATTTAGAAGAAATTATTACATTGCTTCCCAAATGGCGGAGCTTGTAGCAGTAGACCAAAACACAGTTTGCTTTGCATGGGTGCAGACTTTGATTTATATATCTATTTATCTCAATGCAGCATTATTTCTGAAATAGAATTATGTCAAAAGGAAAGAAGTTCACTTTAAATTCCAGTTTTTTGCATGTGCACTGCATGTATCTAGGGTAATGGCTTGCTCTCTGTTTGCTTGAATATATAACCCTCTTTGTGTACTGGTCTGTCAACAATGGAGGACCCACCTATTGTCATTTTAAATGGATTATAAATTATCCAGTAAAAATCCAGGATTTAAGCAGTTTTAATTAACTTCCTCTGTGGGGAACCTGCGCTCACAGATGCAGATCCTTTTTGCAGATTCAATCATGTACAGCTTGGTTTAATCTGCAAAAAGGACTTCTACAAACTCAATCTATTTTCAAAGTCATTATTGCCTTCCTAAATATGACCATAAATAAAGGCTTACCATGAAGCATATCAAAGATTTTCAACTCACAAGAAGATAACAAACAAAAAGGTTTAAAAAAGCAAAATACACATGGGGTGCTTCATGAAGCGAAGTGTGCCATCTTTGGTATATCATCGTTGGATCATCAGTTTTTTAGCACTTTGAATAAAGGACCTGTAATCTGAATGTGCAGGCTTGGTGTAATCCTGATGGCAACATATCAAACCCCTCATGTTCTGAATGAGAATAGTCCTGGATGATTCTTTTTACAAATCCTGCATCCCTCAAATGATTTTACAAAGGAAAAGCAGGAAGAGGCTATAATAAGGTCTGACATGTGGTTTGCTATAAGCCATGTAGAGAAACACAGCAAACATTTAACAAAAGATGCACAAACTATACATTTTAGTATAAACTGGAAAGACTGTGTTTTAAAAACATATTTGAGACGTAGTGATGGCAGCCTGACTTTACCTTTTCTTTTCAAGGCCTTTCTATTAATTCTGACCCAGCTTTCTTGAAGAGAAAAAAAAACATTTGAAAACATGTTCCAACATTATAACAAGGGGTATACATACTTTTGAAATACTGGTATAGATTTTTCTTTTATTTTTTAAAGCATATTTCTTTGCCTCAACTCAGATGAATCAGAGCTTTTGAACCCATTCAGATAATATCCTCTCACCCTTTCAGAGCTGATGATTGTCTCTTTATTCTCCATAGTAACAGTCCCATAGCAACTAGTGCCTCTTATACTCAGTAGTCCTTTGCTCTCACCTGTCCGGCATCATCTGTCTCATCACTCACAGCCTTCCTCTCCTCTTCACTGCCTCCAGTTTGCATGTGGTTGTTTGCGTATGAACGTGCCTTCATGTGAGATGTGAGTAAGCCAGATCTTCTTCACTTGGGACCTTATTTTCAGTCTCCACCGGGAAGGCTGCACTGCTGACACTGTGAGTTCAACTAATGCTTTTTGTTTAATTGATTTAATACATTCAAATAGATTTATGTTTAGATGTTTTAAACACGGTTTTGATTGTGACTTAAAGACTGTTGCTATTACTTTTTTGTGCCATTTCTTTTTAATTACTGAACTGAGTTATGATTATTTGCATTAAATGTACTAAGCATACCATAATATCGACTTCTTTGCAGCGGATCCTGAGAAGTGGAGCCATTGTGTTGGTTCTGTGTTTTATTTGGATTCCCAAAGCAGAACCTCTTTCATTGTGCATCAGGGGAGACACCATGGGGTCCAGTTCCTCCTCTTTCCCTCACCGAAACATTTACCTGGATGTTGATGGGAAGGTGCAAAAGGTAAATCTATTTCCAAATATTCAAATGTGTAGTTTAAAGTATTGTTTTTGATACTCTTTTTTTTTTTAAACAATAAAGAGTTTTCATGTATAATCTTTCTAAATAATTGCTTAAAATGTTTCTTGTTTTGCAACAATATGAGTTAAATCAAACATGAATGAAAGTGTTAGTAGAATTAAAGAAAATACACCATCAGTCAGCTCTGTTAGAATACATTTTGGAAGAATACATTCTAAGGAGACTGAAAATATTAGATATTCAATTTCAATAGCTACTCTGAAATCCTTTAGAGTTGTCAAGGTTATAGATATAATTTATATTTTGTATATTTACCACAATATAATATCTCTAAAAACAGTAAGTGACAGAGTGAGAGAGAAAAAAACATTTAACAAAAAAACAAAGAATACAATCAAAAGTAAAAGTAACAAGAATACCATCAATTTTAAACAAACATGATTAGATGACAATAAACGGAAAATAAGAATTTGTTTTTATGTTTACATTAAAGGTGGCACTAGCTTACGCAGTTATTGCCCTTTACAGAGAAAGCTGTAAAAATTAAAAAACTTCTTTGCAACAGTGTTAATAATATTAACATAATTTAAAAAACCATACTGTTATTTACCTATTCTCATTAAATTAGTTTCGAAGTTGTTGATAAATTACAGACTTTCTTTTGCTTCCCAATTCCATACATTCTAAAGAATATAAAAGTGTATAAATATATCTGGAACGGGAGTTTAAAAATGGAAAATAATCCATAACAGACAAAAATAAAGAACAACTTCCATTAATGGGTCACCTGCTACAGATATTCCCAGGGAGGTTTCAATAACCCTAACAAGGATCTAAAATTAGAATCGTGTCAATTTGTCATTTCAGTGCCGCCAACCAGGCACATTGTTTGCAACAAGCCTCTTCCTGTGTCATTTTATAAAGCCTCAGATCTCCAGGAAACATTTATTTTAAAAAAAAGTAGTGCTTTCATTTTTAAAAGTAATGATTGTAACATATGTTTTGAAAAATAATTAGGTAAACTCCTCTCAGCCCCCACATTAACAGTAGAGTAACACCTGTGATTTAAAAGACTGCACAAGACACAAAGTTACAACAAATGGCTTCAAACTTAGGTTTAAGTTCCAAATATACTGAAATAAAAACAATAAAAAATATGTTTATCCATTGACATAAATGGCTTTGTTTTTGTTTTTTAAAAGCATCTGTCTGTGACACATGTGTCTGGGGGCTCCAAGCCCATAACCCAAACCGCCATGCGTTGGCTGATGTCACTGCCCCCCATTGAAAACTACAGTTTATGCTCTGGGTCTTTGCTGTATATAATTGTTCATTCCTTCAATTACACGACTGACAAGTACTGCCTTACTCTTGCAAACTGGAATGATTTGTTGGCATGTGGCATCTTTAAGAGCTACAGGAAGCATCAAGCTCCAGCTGTTGTTTCCCTTCAAATTGTTCTCACAAAACCTTCCTGCCTCTTACTTTGCAACATTTAATAAAGAATCAGTCCAACTCTCATTTTGCCTTCTTATATTTCCCAGCTGTATACAAAAAACACTAATTATGACTTGTGTTATGAATGTATGTAACATACCTTTGTTTTAAAACAATCAATATGACTGATAAGCTATTATTTTCTGATGCTATGAACCATTCTATGTGCCAGTGTATTTAAATTTGGATCTGACTTTGATCATTTACAACATTTCAGGTGGTATTCAGTCAGCACAGCAGTCCATGTGACATCAAGGAACTTTTATGTTCCTCATCCAACCTTCCCAGGTTTGTTATTTTGTCTTACAGCACAAGAAAATGTTCATACATTTCTGAAACAGATATAGCATCAAATGTTCTCAACTGTGGATCAAAGAACATATGTCTTTTTTTTTATTATTCTATTCTATATTATTCTTTTTGTCACACAAAGTTGATGAAATATATGGAGTTATTTGTTTTTTTTATTAAAACTATATATTTATTCTAAATTATAAATGCTATCACACCACTTAAACTTTTCAGACTTGTCTCTCAGCAACCATAAACTTTAGTAAAGTCATTTGGGATTTTATGGAACAAATCAACACATTGGAATTAAATAAAGGTGGAATTTATCATTTTCTAACAAACAAAAAACACATGGCTAGATTTGCGGACTTTTACCATATTGGTTGGTTTTCACTGATACTAGCCTACTCACAGCTTGTATGTTTATGCTTTTAGCTGGTTGTTCACTAACAATTTTTAACAAACCTCCGATGCTTTCACAGATTAGCTGACGGTATATGGAGATTAAATAACAAAAAGGATGGGTTGTACTATTTACTGCAGTGGCTTTTATTTAGGGGTATCAAATTAGGAAACATACAAACACCCCCTTAACTATTCAGACTTTTCTTTGCAAACAAATTCACAGAGGTTTGTTGTTTTAAGAGAACAAAATGTGAAAGAAAAGAAAAAAGTCATAAATATTTGTAACAAAACTCTGCATATAATTCTAAAATCTACCACAAGTGGTCAAATTTCTCTCTAAATCTCAGTCTCTTTCAACAGGAACACAGCAATCAAGTTGATAAATCCAGAAGGGGCCATGGTCTCTATTGATGCCACAGTGCCGGCCAACTCTCCAAAGTAATATACAACAAATACTTTTGAAATATACCTGTTCTTCTCAATTTATTTTGCATTACCTGTTTTTAAAACTACAGTGTGTAATAAGTAAAGGGATGTATCGACAGAAATTTTCTATATTATCCATAAGTATATTAATCATTAACATCTATAAGTTGAAAGTTTTAATCCTTGTAATAATTTGTAATTACAAAGATTGAGATTCTCTCTTACTTACTAGACTTACTCAGACTACTCTCTACTTACATAGGAGTAGATCTCTCATTTATGGAGGCAGACATCTTTAAGCTACAGCAACACAGAACTGACAAACTATTGACAGTAGAGATTGCCATTACACTTGAATGTGAGTTAGGCCTATATCACAGACTAATAAAACACTATCTATATAAACAAGCCGTGTCACCACTTTACAAGATAGGTGATGCAGACATTGTGGAAGCCATTTTGTATCATGACAACATCTGTGTTGTTGGACGTGGAGAAGCAGTGGTGGTAGCAGTTCATGTTGCTGCAGACTGCAGTCTGATCATTAGATGTCACAAAAAATTACAGACTGTAGCTTTAAGATAAAGTCACATTCTCAGAGGCATTTTTCAATTCTTCAGGTCATGAACTTTGACATGACAGTTCATGCAAAAAAAAGGAAGGACCAATGTGACTAAAATACACCTGTTTGATTTCTCAACAGTTTTCTTTACAAAGTTGTCCCATTGTCCACCAGTCAGCCACCAGGTAAAGTATTTCAAAAAAACTGTGTAGGAATGTTAGTGGTGCAAATGCTTATCAGATTTCCAACTATGCCAGCAGAGAGAGAGGACATGTTTCAGAGCTTGTTAACTCAGGTTGCTGAGCAGTTTACCAGGTAACTCCTTGCTCTGGTGTTTTTTCCAAAGCTTTCCCATCACCATCTATGCACATACCTCTGTATAATTTTTAAAACCTAAACATTACAGCCCACATTGTTACCCTTAGAGGTAAACTGAGTCACTTATAAACAAAGCTGATTTCTTTTTTGCTCTAAACTGTCTGTCACAGAGCCTTTCGCATTAATGAGCTGAAGACTGAAGTCACCAACCGACTGGCAGCACTGGAGAAGAGAGTTGAAAGTGAGTTTGCAACAACAAAGAAAAAAATAGCAACCAGAAAGCTCTGACAGTAAACTCTAACTACCCAGTTTGTGTGTTTCAGTGGAGGGCTTGAAAGTAGTCGAAATTGAAAAGTGCAAAAATGATTTGAGGAAACTTCGAGATGAAGTGACATCAAGAGGTGGAAGCAGGTGAGTTTTAAAATATGACATTACTAAAGGAAAAGCATGATTACTAAATCAAATGATATTTTAATTTGATCTACATCTAACCTCAGGGTAAACTGTTCATGCAAATACAGCTTCACAGATGAAGGGAAGAAGGTCACACCGAGACGAGATGTCCCCACCTACCCGAAGGTATGTCCCCACCTACCTGAAGGTATTTCCTCAATACGCAATGAGATTTTTTTGACAGTTTTCTTCATCTGCCTCATTCAGTACACACTTTCTCAGGAGACAATTGAGGCACTGAAGAAGCCAACATTTGACGTTTGGCACTGGGAACACAATGAGGTTCGTTGATCTCCATCATTACAGATTTGCATTGTGCTCCTAAAAAAGAGGACTGATGGCACTTTTTTTTTTTTTTAACTCTGTTTCTGCCAACAGATGCTAAGTTGTCTGGAATTCATGTACCATGACTTGGGACTTGTGAAGGAATTCAACATGAATCCCATTATACTTAAACGCTGGCTGGTATTTATTGCAGAAAAATGTGACAGAGGTCAATCTGTGGTTTTTAGATAGAAAAATGTTTGGCTTGATCTTCTGTAATAAGCTAAATGTGCATTTCTTTGTATCCTAGCTGGCAATCCAGGAAAACTATCGCGATAATCCCTTCCACAACTTTCGTCATTGCTTCTGTGTTAGTCAGATGATGTATGGCATGATTCACCTCTGCAGCCTGCAGGTATGGTCCACACCTGGGCTTTGTTTGGTCCTTGCAAAAGTACTCATGAATCTATAACTCTATTTTAATTAATTTGATTTTAAAAGTCACATCTATCATCCCTTATGGGTTTCATAAGGATTTAATGTAACAGATAAGAACTGTATGGCTTTATAGTAGGAAACTGACACATGCTTTTCATATTTTCTTTTCGACAATAAAATCTTAAAGGATAAAGAGCATTATATGCTCCTAAATGATATCAGCTGGAACAAATGGCTTTCCAAAGCATAGAAGGAAATGGAGTCCATCTGTGTGTTATATAAACTAAGAAAAATGTAGTTGTTCTGTAAAAGCTGAAGATTTATAGAGAACATTACTAAGATAAAGTTGTGGTGAAATTTAAAGCAGGATTAGGTTGAAGTCTTATATCTTGGTCTCTGGTCATCTTAAAAAAGTAATGTCAATCAATAATCATAGTGTTAATCTGATTGGTAACAATTGCTGCTTACTGCAACGCGCAGAAGGATAACTTCCTTTATAACAAAGCCTAAAATGAAACATGGATACATTTTCCTGTTAAAAATAAAATATTTATTTACACAAATTACAGTTTGAATTTACATTATTGCAAAGGTTTATTTAAACATCTATATTGTGTAAATAAAAAAATGTGGTTGTGTAATTATCACACTGTCATTACATTTTTCGTCACATGCACCCCCTAGTGATAGCTGACGAACCCTTGGAGTGCACACACCACCATCGAACGGCTCGTTAAGGCCCTCCTTGCTATCAGGCCACTATTTTTCTCCCGTTTTCTCACTGGATCTTAAACTATTCTTTATTAGTTTCACAACTCGACTTGGAGGTGCTAACTAGCTTAGTCCAATACTTACATGTTTACCACCAACACACATGCACAATATTGTACCTTTGTTTTTACTGTAAATATATATGACCGGGTTCATTTATTAGCAGAATGAGCACAGGATGTAATCATCATTTAGAATAACTTAGTACACAACTGGAGTGTGATACGGGCATGTACATTTAAACAGATATCACACTGTTTTCATGGGTTAAGAAAAAAACATGTCAAGAGGAGCTGCAGAGATTTGCGGCTCAGGTAGGAGAATCTGTTGACATTATCAACAGCAGTAGCTATGTTAACAACATGACTCATAAGCCACTCCTCTGTTTTCAAAAATACATACTTCTCTAGATGAGCAAAGCTTGTAAAAAGATCACAAAAAACTTGCGGTATAACTGCAAGGTTTTACAAATTTTTAACTCAGAGGACTGAAAACAAATGACTGTCTATTTTTTGGTATTTTTAAAACTTCAGGAAATCATGCATTATTTCTCCTTTACTTCATAATTATGCCTTGCTTTATGTTATCTGTTTATAACAACTCTAATAAAGTTTCTGTTAATTTTTTAGGAGTTAATAAATCAAAATGTCTACAGAAAGTTTGGCAGAAAATCTGTGAGAATTATTTCCTTTAACAATTCAGTCAAATGCTTTCTTAAATTTGACCTTATCCTGCAGGGGAAGCTGACACTCACAGATTTGGGCATTTTAATGACAGCTGCAGTGTGTCATGACCTGGACCACCCTGGCTACAACAACACGTAAGACTCCCTCTTCTGTCTGCAGTGTTGTTGACAGATGCAGCACTGTGGATGCCCAGTGACCCCCACTATGTTTTGATATACTTTGCAAAACACTGTTGTTGATGAGCTGTGAAACTAGTTCGGCCTGGATAGAATTCAGGTATGAAAACATGCTTACTGAGATAATCGCGCTGATATATTTTGGTCTTACACAGGTGAGAACCTTATCAAGATAAACTTCTTGAGAATTGACTCGCCAGCATTCTCAGACCTATTTAACTCTGACATCCATTCATCAGGTACCAAATCAATGCTCGCACAGAGCTGGCAGTGCGCTACAATGACATCTCCCCTCTGGAAAACCATCATTGCGCTGTGGCTTTTCAGATTCTGTCCCTTCCTGAGTGCAACATCTTTGCTAATGTCGATCCAGAGACATTCAGAAAGATCCGACAGGTAAGATATGGATTATGTTGAGTTATTTTTGGGGGTGGAGTTGCAGGGGGATACATGTTTCAGCACCTCCACATAAATGTTAAAGATTTGGGATGTCCTCTCATGTTTTCAGGCCATTATCACTCTTATTCTGGCCACGGACATGGCTAAGCATGGTGAGATCCTCGAAGGCTTCAAGCAGAAACTGGACAACTTTGATTTTAACAATGAGGAGCATGTCACATGTGTATGTAACCATTTTCACTTAAAAATGACAATGTTTTAATTTTTTTAAGTTAGCTTCTCTGGATTAAATTGACTTGTTCATGTAGTATACATTGCTGAAGAAATTACCTCTAGAAATATGGTTAAAGCAGATTTTATTTTTCTATTATAGGCTTCTTTGTCTCTAGCTCTTCGGGATATTGCACTGGTGTTTAAACAGGTTTGTGTTTGTTATTTTAGCTAAAGAAGGTGTTGATTAAGTGCTGCGATATCTCCAATGAGGTGAGGCCATCTGAGGTTGCTGAGCCCTGGGTGGACTGTTTGCTGGAGGAGTACTTCATGCAGGTGACTAGAATTTCATTTACAGTAACCAAAATGATCGACTCTTTCAGAAAATCATATTTTTTTTATTATAATGCAATGACAACTTTGGTTTTAAGAGCGACAGAGAGAAGTCTGAGGGACTTCCAGTAGCTCCCTTCATGGACAGAGACAAAGTTACCAAACCGACAGCTCAGATTGGGTTCATCAAGTTTGTCCTCATCCCTATGTTTGAGACTGTCATGAAGGTATTGGACAATAGCTTTATGGATGTTACAGTACTCTCTTTAAAAAAAGTGCTTTGTAATGTAATGCCTTTATGTTTATTTTGACCAGCTATTCCCCCAGATCGAAGAAATCATGGTTCAGCCTTTGAGAGACTCTCGGGACCATTATGAGGAGCTGAAGCAGCTTGAAGACTCAATGACAGAGGTAGAAATTGTCTGTCTGTCTGCCTGCCTGTCTGTCTGTCTGTCTCTCTGTCAAGAATATCTGTGATTTGCATAAAATATTACTGCTTTGGAGGTCCTTCATTTTGTTAAATTTGTTTTAAAAAAGAAGTGACATGTAATTGCTTTTTGTAGCGAAACTGATATTTTCCAAATTTGATATGGGCAGGAGTTTCTGGAAACAATAAGTGTAACAGGAGCCTTTCACAAGGAAGTAAAAGAATTACAGCTCATAAATGTCCAACTTCTGTTCTCCAGAAAGCCAAGTAAATTCCCTACTCTTGCCAAGGAGTTAATAATCTTTTACTCTTATTGCCAAAAAACAAAGCAAGTTTTTTTTTTCCCTCCGAGTCAAAAATGCTGTCTTTAGTATTGCATTTTAAAGACAGAATTTAAAGACATGCATTTCCAAAATTGCATGAAATTTAAAACCATGATTTCATCTTAGTTTGTAACACTGACAATCATTGTCTTTTTGTTGCTCGTGGAGAGTCCAGTCAGAGTCTAATGACTACAATAGCATAAGAAAAAAGGAAGAATCATGGATAAGATAAGATTTTAATATGTTTATAGTGACATATTATTACAAGTTTAATTGACATAAGACGCATTTTATTAATTTGGATCTTGTGTTATAGTAATTAGTAACAGTGAAAGTAAAAACTGTCCACCACTTGCACTGAAAAGACAGAGTGCATTGTGCTGATATTATATCAGTATCATAATGCATGGTTCACATGAACATCAAAAGCATTTTTGTTTTTTCCTTTATGTCATTCAAAAAGCTGTGTCTGCACATATCAACAGAAACCAAAATGAGCATATGTTGATTAGATTAGAATGGGGATTTTGACTGAAACAGTAAAGTAAGAGGGGCTGTTTTCTTCCAGCTGCATGAACTCCTTACCAAGATACGATCACACAAATAGACACAGACTCTCTCATCACATACTAACATAAAGGTATCTTTTGTTTAATGTGGCACAGAAGAAAAAAACGGAAAGTATGTCAATAGGCCGGTGAAGAAGTGAGGTCGCAGTGAGTGAGTGTGTAAGTAAAAGCAACTGAGTCCTTGGTTGTGTTTGTGTGTTTTAGTTTGAGTGTTGCTCCGTGTGAGAAGCTTGGAGTGTTACTTCTCTGAAAACATAAATAATCAGGAATGTGCAGCATTTTCATCATGTTGAATTTGCCATTCCAGCTTTAAGAGATCGATTTGCTCAAATAATTCCATATGATTGAGTTTCCTGGCAAACCCAAAGTTTTCGGTTTGGAAGATTACAGAAAAGTTTTAAGGAAAAAATGTTTTAGTGCAATTGTGAAAACAAACTGATGAAAATGTTGCCATTTAATCTTTCGACTAACACTCTTTTTTCTGCAGTAATAAGATTTGCTTTCTGTTCAGGAGCTGAAATCACAACTCTTTTTACTCTACATTATGTTCTGAAATAGACTAGATTTGACTCAGAGTCAACTTCACTTATTTTCCAAAAGCAATGATCCTCCTCTCTGCTATCAGGGCTCTGGAACTGCATTCCTCATCATGGCCTTGCAAAAGTTTCCATAACCCTTGAATTACAAGCAAACATTTCCATGTATTTTATTTGGATGTTATGTGATTTACAAAGACAAAGTGTTATAAAGCTAATATACTTGAAGGTCACTTATTTGCTGTGCACTCCACCAATTTGTTCTTATGGAAAAGTTGAAGCAAGAAAACCATCACTGCAGGAAAGTCTAAATAGGTTTTCTTTGTAGATTGTCTAAAGTCAAGGAGTCCCAGCAATCATTTGGAAGATGGTGGTCTGGTCAGAAGAGACCAACACTGAATCAACTTTAAACCCAGTTTTGTAGTAAAGTATTTTTAATAATGTCTACATGTGCAAAACTTGTATAAAGATACCTGAAAAAAAAATCTGCTCCGACAAATGCAAGAAAATGTTAATGTAACAAGTAGACAGAGAGCAGCTGAGTACTTGCTTCACTCTCATATTTTGATAAATAATGAAAAATCAATAAACTTCCAAATAAAATACCCTGAAGGTTGTAGATGTAAAGTTACAAATGCAAAAAGTATGAGGTTGGGGGACCTTTGAAAGGGAATGTTCATGCTTTAGCAGTGTTGGATTGTTGTACAGTGTCCAAACTAAACAGTCAATATCTGTTTGAAACCATGTTTTAACCTAAACTGTTGTTCTTGAGGCCGAAGACTTTCTGACTGCTAAAACCGAGTCCTTTTTTATTGCAGCAGTCTTCTTTCATGAGCCGATTGAGGAAAGACTTGAAAAGCGAGTGAGGCCCATGTGAAGACATCCAGTGCTGACTACTAAAACAGATTCTGAGGATGACAGCTGAAGCAGAGGGCCGAGATATGAGTGTTATAGCTCTTCAGCAGGCTGAACTAAAATTAGTCATTGCATGTCTTTGACTTTGACTTTTAGAGTGGACTTTGAAAGGAGGTGGTGATCCTCCATGTATATTTATGTTGAGACAGCAATTTTCATTTTGTAATTTTTATTGAACGAAATATTGGTGATATGGCTTTCTCCAAACAGAAAGTAATTTGTTTTAATTTGTTATGCGCGTTAACAATCTTAAGAGCTAATGAGTTTGCCTAGTTCACCAAAGGTTTAGCAATTCTTTTAATAATAATTGAATTAAATGGACCAAAGTTACGCCATTTAAATTACGTCTAGCAATAAAGGTTTTAGCTGGTATGGTGTACACAATGTTTTTTTTTTTAAACAAACAAAAATACTTCTGATCTCTTAAATATTTTTCCTTTTAGCTTACTCTTGACTTTCACTTTTTTGAGAAATAGACTGCCTTCAGTGTGTTGGGGACAGTTTATCACACCAAGCCCTGTTTGCTCAGATTTTCATATGATTGTATTAATGTTGCTGTTCAAGCACATTATAACTGTTTGTTAGTGCTTATTATGACAAACTATTTAGGTATTAGGTCCTTCCTTCTTGCACAGTGCTCAAATTCTTTATTCAATAAAGCCTCTTTGATTTTCTTTGAAATGTTATATGGCCTGTACTTATATAGTACTTTACATTACATTCAGCTATTCACCCATTCACACACACTGTGGCAAGCCATCATTGTAGCCACAGCTGCCCTGAGGCTCACTGACAGAAGTGAGGCTGCCGTATACTGGCGCCACATGGCCCTCCAACCACCATCAGCAGGCAATGGCGGTGAAGTGCCTTGCCCAAGGAAACAACGACACTGAACAGACAACCCTCCAGTTGCAGGGCAAACTCCTTCAGCCGACACCACTGTCACCCCAACACTCTGATCAACACTCTGATCAGTTCATCTCAAACATTATCTCAAGGCTTTGTTCACTTAAATGCAATGTAATATTTATGCATTTATTTTCATCCAGTTTCCTTAAAAAAATAAAATAAAGCAATATTAAATGAAATCATCAAGTGCAGTAAGACTTTTTTTCGCAAAAATATCTCCATCCTGAGAAAGTGAGGTTTGACTGTGGAGCAGGAAAAACCTATGAGTGACATGACTGTGGCAGAACAGGCGCAGATAAGCAAGATTCCACTTAACTTCAGTTCATCATTTAACAGACATGACAACTTTAAGACAAAACAATAATATGGCTTAAGAAGCAGCATTACACCCAAATAATGATTACTGCAGAGCGGAAAGAGTAAATAAAGCCAAATAAGGAAAAGTGGTTTTAAATCTAAGGTTGCCCAACACATCTAATCTTTACAAAAAACAGTTCCATGTTTAATCCTAAAAATAGGTTGTATGCCTTCCACATAAAACCCGGGGGATTCTCTACAGTGGAGGAGCTTGAAAATCTAAAGGTCAGCCTCCCATTTTAGAAATTTAAAATCAGACATATAAAGTCTTTAAAATCAGACTTTGGTTAAAATATTTCAGGCTTTACATGTTTGAATGAGTAAATGTCCTTAACCTTTAATTCTCACTGAAGAATTTTGAATCATTTGAAGCCTTTTTAAAGTTGCTTCAAGACATCCTGATTGTAAAAATTAAAATAGCCCTCCCTGGAGGGGAACAATGTGTTGACTTGTTGTTGGCAACTTTCCCCAAATAAGACTGAGGTGAGCAGGAAAGATTGAAAATGAATCCTCTCCTCTGGACCCAAACCTTTACAGATGGTCTCATCTGGCAAGAGACTGAGGACCAAAACCTCTCATCACAAAATACGCTCTTTCCTGTCTGCAGTTACACATTTACTGCTTGCCAATAAAGCTTTATGTGACTCGGACTTAAGTAGAAGAGGGTGGTACTAGACATGTTCTCAGTGTTGCTACCGTACATACAGTATGTAGATCACTAGGACTATTTGGGTTGGCATTATTCATAAAATGCAAAAATTATCCAAGAAGTGAACATAATGAAACAGCCTACTGTGAACTATGATGAAAAAACATCAGAATTCCACCATGAAATTAACTAATAAATGGAAACAAATCATACATTCAGTATTTGCACAATTGTTACTTTTCGGTTACAGTCCTGATTTAAAGTAGCCAAGATCCATCTAAAGCCTGGGAGTCCCTGTCAGATCATACATAAAAGCTCTGATGGGTGGCTGACTCATGGCCGCGCACCTCCTGTGTCTCACCAGGTACTGGACCTCTATGTTGCTTCACATTCTTCCCTGTAAAACATTTCAATTTGGCCTGGTGGACCTTCAGGCCATGTTTGTCCTCGCCGTATGAAGAGTCTGCAATTTTTACAACCTATTCTCATTATGAGTGCGTGTGAAATCGTACGAAAAGTTATGCACCGTGATTTCGTACGTTTTGGATGTTTTTTTCATCGTATGCGCATGCGCATCTGACGCATCATTCACGAATATAGAATATAAATTACAATTAACCCTGACCCTACACCTAACCCTAAGAAATAAAACAGCAAGCAACATAGTTAGAGACATGAATAAGTGATGATTGCACTGTTTTTCCCATTTTTACGTCCGTCCGCGGATCCTCTTTTTTTTTTCTATCTGCCAGCGCATGCGCACTGATGTGGTTTTTTGAGGAAAAACGTCCAAAAACATACGAAATAGTGTGCATAACTTTTCGTACGATTTCATACGCACTCATAATGAGAATATGTTGATTTTTACCATTTTTCAGTTGTCCTAAGACTTAGAGACTTAAACAGACTTTATTATCATTTTGTACACACAGAGTATATACAAAAAGAAATATCGCTCACTACAGTTGTGATAATATGTAAACATGGTGATCAAATGTAAAGCTAAGACTGGTAAATGATTTACAGTTTGCAATATTCAGTGCTTTTTTTTAACCCCATTTTATCCAATACTCAGCAGTCTAATGGCACTTGGGAAGCAGCTGTTCTGGAATCTGCTGGACCTGCATCAGAATCGAAGCCTCTTCCCAGAAGGCAGCAGTAAGCAGTCCATGGTGGGGGTGTTAGGAGTCATTTATAATGTTACCTGGATTGCTGTTTTTTATATCTTTAAAGGTTGTCTCATGTAGTGCAGAAAACCCCATCACCATGTTCTCACTCCACTATCACTCCTCAAAATGTGTTTAATTTTGCTGCTCCACACTAAAAACAAGATTTCATCTTTCCTAAAGGTCTCCCTATTTTTTTCAAGAGATCCCACCGAAACGTGCACTTATCAAAACTCACCCACTGGTCCACACCCCTCATTCCTGAAACAGTTTTCCTGCAAGCAAAGTGGATGGTGGTGGTTTTCATCAAAGCACTCAACAATTTTTATTGCTGCCTTTTTATGCAGCACATTGTAAATTACTCTACTATTATATCACCTGCAGGGTACATCTGACATCTGCTAAATACCACCTGTAAAGTCCTGATCAAGCTTTGGCAAACAGCATAAGTTGGTATTTTTGTACTCTATTCAAGGTGTAAGGTTTGCTTGAGGTTTTCCCTTTAGATTCATGTAGCATGACTACATTTGTAACCAATGAGTCTCCAATTTTATTTGATTAATGTTTTGGGATTAATGCCTGTCAGTTTGAGTGTTGTTCTGATGTTTGCTCTTGAAGAGATGAACTTGAGGCAGCAACAGAAGTAACAGCAAACCACATGCATCAATGGCTGTTGAGATGAAAGAAATGCCAAAGCTTATTTTGGCCCGGGTGTGTACCTTGAATAAAGGTAATTATCTACCACCCTCAACCCATAGCGTGACAAAGTGTTTCGATTTAACCTGCAGGAATGGCATAACAAGCAATGTGTTTTCTCATCATATCTCCACATTTTTGCAGTTCTATATATAGATAAAAGGCACCATAAAGATGATTAATTGAATATGTTTCATTAGGAACAAATGAGGGAATATTTGTTAGATTGGAAGAATTCTTTGGTAAGATGCCAGTAAATCATTCACTTTTTACAGTATTTCATCAGTGGTTTCAGCCAGACTAACTTTTTGATTTTTAGGTGTTTTTTTTTTTTAATCAACTCTAATTAAACTGTCAGATTTCAACCTATGTTGCCCTGGAAGAACTGTTTTGCTAGCCTGTAGGCAGGGTGTTACATCATGAGAACTACCACAATACTTCAGGTGCACTATTTATTCATATGAATTGAAAATTGTAATAATGTAATGTTATTGATGGACCTTTTGGTACTCATCAAGTATAAAGTTTTGAAAAAAAAATGTCTGATTTTAAGAAACCATACATGCTTCCTATGTAGTTTGGAAAGGAAAGTGGACATAACATGCATACTTAGGCCTTGTTTTGCCTTGTTCACATCGACACAAGACTCTCAAGTATCTCAAACAAAATAGTAGAAAAAAATGTTCCATGATAGTAGCTGGGGTCTTTCTGCATGGAGAATGCATGTTCTCCCTGAGCTTCTCTCCGGGTCCTATGTATGCCAAGCACGGTGTCACAAAACCATTGACTGAAACACCGAGCATGCACAGCCTGCTGGCTCATTTAAGCTAAACAGAGCAACATGGCAGTAAATACGTAGCCTGGGTGCCAGTCCGAACTTAGTCCCGCCCACAAGGTTTGAGTTCGGGGAAGTTCGGTCTGGCTCTGCTCCATAGTAGCGCTGGTATTATCGCCCACTGTCAGGCGATCCAATCAAATTGTCAGGGCGGGCTTTATACGATGATGGACAAATGATCAAGAGTAACGTAATCAACCACGTGACCAAAGCGCGCTTGGGTGACAACAATAATGGCTGCCGCTGGAGAGTTTGGGTGAGTAGATTCTGCTATTAGGTCTGTTCTAGAAGATATCGACAGCAAATTAATTTTAAAAGAGGAACAGAGAAACGCGATCAAGTCTCATCTTCTTATTCTAGGCGTGAAACTGCACGCTTTAATTTTTGTGGACAACAACTATGCCTCGCTTAACATACGTCACGCACTCCGTTGCTCTTATTGGTTGTAGGTCTATCCAATTGAGTGCAGAGGCATTTTTTTACCTGGTTCGTTCGAAACACGCCCCATAATCACAGCTCTATGGAGCAGTATCAGACTCATATTCTGACTAGAATTGAGTCGGACTACGTCAGGCTAGTAAATACGTGCATGTAAATTACAAAGACATGGAACCAGGTGACATTTCAGGGTGAATGGGATTTACAGAAACACCAAGCTGGTTTTTGAAATACTGCTACTACCCAGTTTTTGAAACATCTATTATTGGTCTTATATACTAGAACCGTGTGGAAGCATACCCTAAACAGCAAGTACCTTTGCAGATGCACCATCGATGCCACCATCAACCCTTCTGTCGGTGGTAGAGGGCGCTGTGGTACCAATGTATGGCAGCTTCACTTCTGTCAGTGTGCTCCAGGCAGCTAAAGGCGGTCATACACTCTGCCATTTTAGGGGCAATTTTCCAGCCATGCGAGAATCTTTCGATCGGCCCGACTTTCAGCCTGATCGTGCATTGTTTAGTGTATGGGGGGTTATGAGGGGCGATTGATCAGGAGGTCAAGATTGCTCAGTCGTCGTGGGCAAATTGCTCAGTGCGCATGCGCAAACAAAAATTCTTCTTTTTCTACTTCCTCTAGATGTAAACACAGAAGCATGGCAGGGATGGAATGAGTGAAATGCAGATCTGTCTGTAAATTTGACAGACCGTAGTAGCCACATTTGCTCAGCCATGTCTTTTTTTCCAAATACATCTTTGCCTTTTCTTTTTAGGGCTTTCAGCACAAAATTGCACAAATTGCCAAGGCAGCGCGTTTCACTCTAGAGAGCTTAATATTCCCCTTCTATTTGTTTGGCTTCCGGATAGACGAGTCAGAGCAGCTCCATCTCACTGCGGAGCTGAGTCCGACATAGTTTTTAGTCGTGCAGTGTGAGCAGGTAGATTGTATTAGAGCGTCGGGCCGAAAATAAATCGTGAGCTGTGAACTCACACTGT